TGTCAAATAAATAAAATCTTAAAAAAATAATAATAAAACTTGACTTAAAACTGCTTTGTTCAAAGAAACCTAAAACCTGACTCAATTTCTTAATTAGCTTTTTCTATACTTAAGGACATTAGTTACTCTTCAGTGGTGCTAAAAGCATGAACACTCTTGACTAGTTTGTCAACACGTGGAACAGTCGACCTGTTTTCAGTGCAGCGTGTCTCCATTAGCCTCTTCTAAGTGCAGTTCTTACATCTGGAACCTTTTCTTCCAGGCAAACCCTGTTTGCTAGTGCTGACACTGCATATGTCCTAGCGTATTCAATTATCATGCTAACCACCGACTTGCACAGCCCTCAGGTAAAATATTTTAATGATTGATACGATATAGTAGCTAAATGAGGAGTTTTATTTGGGCCATTGGATGTTTTCTGAATGGCTTCTAATTTTTTTAAATTTCAGGTAAAAAATAAAATGACAAAAGAACAATACATTAAAATGAATCGGGGTATCAATGATAGTAAAGATCTCCCGGAAGAATATCTCTCGAGCATCTACGAAGAAATAGAAGGCAAGAAAATTGCCATGAAAGAAACAAAGGAGCATACGATCGCAACCAAATCTGCTAAGCAGAGTAAGGTCTACTGACAAATTATTCCTATTAATCCTAATGTTTAAGTGTATCAGATCGCATGATTAAGTCCCCTGATGATTAATTTGCATATCTGGATATCTGAATAGTTAATATCTTTAAATCAGTGTGATTATGTTGATTTTCTCATAACCATCTTCTTGCTAGATTTGTGATTAGCTACAAGAAGGTATTTAAAATGAGTAATCTGAGAGCTAAATTATCCCACTCTGTTCTTAAAACTGCTTTAATGACAGTGGTAATGGTGCCAACCTTGAGAATTCTATGGGGGAAGGCCCGTGACACTCTTGGCTTCAGCAGAGCGCAGAGACTGAGAGCACAGGCTGCAGAGCCACACTGGCTGGGGTCAAGTCCCACCTCCACTCCTTACTGGGTGTGTGTCCCTGGTCAAGGAGCTGAGCCTGTCTGTGCCTCATTTCCCCCTTCAGTAAAATGGTACTGTTGGGAACACACTCATAGAGGGGCTCAGGAAGATTTGTGACTTAACCATTGTAAATCTTTTAAAACCATGCCTAGCCCACAGCGAGCGCTCAGTGGGTATCAGCAGCTGCTATTAGACTCTCATTTCTCTGTAGGTGTAGCTAGTGAAAAACAGAGACGGCTGCTGTACAACCTGGAGATGGAGCAGATGGCCAGAACGGCCAAAGCGCTGATGGAGGCCGTGAGCCACGCCAAGGCCCCGTTCACCAGTGCCACTCACTTGGACCATGTCCGCCCGATGTTCAAAGTGAGTATCCTGAGAAGCCAGGACGTGGCTCGGCCTGACTCTGCAGGGAGCAGGCTAGAAGCCAACCAGTGACTCTGTAATGGTGAAGAGGTGGAGGAGAGGAAAGGTCAGGTCTGGGTGCTTCTGTCTGAACAGTAACTCGAGTCCTTCCCAGAAGCCCTTTGATGGTGTGGGGAGTGTGCCAGCATGGGCCCCACAGTCAGAATGGCTGGTTTGCATCCTGCCTTTGCCACCTTGTAGCTCTGTGACCTTGGTCAGCTTACTCAGCCTCTCTCTGTGTTCCTCATCTGTAAAATGGGGACAAGCACAGGGTTGCTGTCGGGGCTGCTGGGGGGGACTAAATGAATTAAGAGTCATTCAGGGTAAAGAGATAGTTTCATTTTGACCTCTCACCTCCGTGGCCTCCGGGTGAGTTTACCAGATGAAACTAGTTGGAGGTAAAAAGACAATATCCTGAAGTGTCTCTTTTTTTAAAGTCTAGAACAGATACGTGCCTTATAGACATAAGGCGTAATTTTTCTCTAAGGTATTTTTGTAGTAGCTGTCAATATCCTGTTAGTTGAGCACTTCTAGATTCTTGTGAACCTTTTATTTCCAGGGCATTCACAAGAAAATTGGAGGAAAACTAAAGTCTAAATAATTTGAATTAGGAGCTTTTCAAAAAACTATAGAGTATGAGTTGTATGTAGGTTTTATTCCGTGTGCCAGCCTAACGGGCACTGCCTGCCCAATACACTGTGCGAGAACCGTTCTCCTGCCCTGAGTAGACTTCGCAGGGAGTGGGCTCACCTGTTGATGAGTGATGTCTGCCCGAATGCACATAGACATGGTGGTGGCACACTCCCCACGTATTTCTCTTCCTTCCTTTTGAACCATACGTGTAGTGAGGAGTTTATCTGTAGTGATACCTCTGACAACAGTTGAGGAATCATTTTATATTGTGAACGGCGCAGATTGAAATCAAAATAGCAGTGAACTTGGCGTGCTGGCTGTGTTCATAACTAACAGCGCCGCCTCTGAGTGCTTTCTCCGTGCTGAAACCCTAGACATGACGGAACCCTCACTTCCTTTCAGCTGGTGTGGACGCCGCTGTTGGCAGCCTACAGCATCGGACTGCAGAACTGTGACGATACGGAGGTAGCCTCCCTGTGTTTGGAGGGCATCCGATGTGCAATCCGGATTGCCTGCATCTTTGGAATGCAGGTGGGCGGAAGTTAGCAAGGCTCCAGAGAGCCTGGTGGGCTGTGTTCTTTCAGATTTGGCAAAACTTAGAAACTATCAGCTACTTCCAATTAGCCAAAAAGTCTCAGCAAACTACCTACTCATGCCTGCTGAGAAGAAGCCCACAGATTTATGCTGACAACAGGCTCATTAGGGGGAAAATTGGAGATTTGGATTGTAACCCTCCTCAGTGGGTAGGTGGGGTCTAAGCCACTTGATTGGATTCGACAAAACAGACTTCCTATCCGCCTGCCTAATTAGCCTGCCCTTGTGCTAAAATATTACTTTTCCTTTTAAGATCAGTTTTTATTATAATGCCCTTCATTTCCAAGTCTTCTCTTGGGGAAGCAATTTACTACAAAATGAGTATGTCTGTAAACCTTTGAATCTTGAAAAAATTGAAACAACTAATCATTTGAGAATTGAGTATCATTCTCAAACTTACCAGTTAGGAGGCTGTCAGTCCCACCCATCGTTTCCGAAGTAAGAACTTGGACCCATTTATTTTGAAAAACTCGAATGTTCTATTCCTGTGTATTTTACAGTTAGACATTTTCTTCTGTACCAAGCTCCCAGGCTTTGACATCAGACAGTCTGGCTGGCAAAACCTAGCCCTGCTGCTTCTTTAGCCACATGACATTGGCCCAGCCAACTCCTCTCTAAGACACCCTTGGTCTCTCTTCCGTAGAGTTGAGGAAATAGGCCTACCTTGCAGGGTTGTTGCAGAAACTAGAGTGTATGTGTCACTCTTAATGTTCAACAGATTCCTCTCCTACTCCCTCCAGAGGGAAGGGAACATGGAACTTAAGTCTGAGGTCAGGTGCAAAGGAGAGAGCCAGCTTTCAGCCACGTGGCGCACAGGGATGTTGGGTAGCAGGAAGACGCCAGCACGGAAGAACTGGCACGTTGCTGTGTGTATAGACGATATCAGGAGCCCCGTGCACACACAGGCACGTGGACGTGCCAGCTGGCATGCTAAGGGTGGCATCTCAGCACACTCTCCTGGTTGGGTTTCTGTTGCAGCTGGAACGAGATGCTTATGTTCAGGCTCTTGCTCGCTTCTCCCTGCTGACGGCCAGCTCCAGCATCACAGAAATGAAGCAGAAAAACATCGACACCATAAAGACGCTCATAACAGTGGCGCACACCGATGGCAACTACCTTGGGAACTCCTGGCATGAGGTGCATTTCCTTTGAAATCCTGGTCAATGCCTTTTGTTAGTTAGGAGAACTCCCAGCATTCCTCTCATTCAGGGTCCATCTTCTGTCTTGGGTCGGTTCCAGTTCTGCAACTAGAGTCAAGTCTCGCTTTAACTCTGGGTTTTCCTTTATCCACAAATACCTCACGTCTCTGAAAGTCAGCTTCTGGGCCCGTGGTGGGCGCGTTCAGATGCTTCCATGTCACAAGAGCGCAACCACCCCCCCCCCGCCCCCGCCACCAGCTCCAGTTGGCATGAGTTTGCTTTTGCAACAGATTTCCTTCCACTGCCCCAAGCCCTTGGGCTCCTCCTGGGAGCTCATAATGTCCCTGGGGGCCTGATCTCTTTCCTAATCATACCTGAAAAGGATAAGGAAAAGTGTTAAAAATCCCGAGTGATAGAATTATGCAGATTTATTTTCTGCTTTTTTCCCTTAAATTATATTACCTGATTTCTGGTGTCTGCACATATTGCTTCTTCTTGCTTTAGAGAGAAAAACTGTAAGAGTAGAGGTGAGTGTGCAGAGTGGTGGGGACCATGGGCACCTAGAGGGGACGTGGCTGCCTCCTCCCCCATGGGGTCAAGTCCTTAAGGGGGAAGGCTGGACTGCTGCGGTCCGGTGTGGGTTTGCAGCTCTGCCTGCCTGTGTGGTATACATGTCCCATGCGGGCTGCACCTTCGTGGGGTTGCCATGAGGTGAAAGGAGGTCCTGTCCAGGGCCCAAAACTGCATTTGGCAGGTGGTGAGGACTCGGTAGGTGTTAGCCCTCCCCCTCCCGCCCGCTCATCACGGCATGTACCTTTGTCCCCTTTCACCCAGCCTTTCCTTCCTCCGTCGCACCCTTGGAGTTTTCCATATTAGAAAAGATGGAGTAGGGCAGGGGTAGAGAGGGATGGTCGGTTGGGTTTCGGTTTTTGTTTTTGTTCTTTAAGTTATCTCTGTGCCCAGGGTGGGGCTCAGACTCAGGACCCCAAGATCAAGAATCACATGTTCCACCAACTGAACCAGCCAAGAGCCATTTTGTTGTTGTTGTTGTTGTTGCTTTGTTTTGTTTTTAAGAAGTAATTTCCTGTTTTCTGAGGAGTCGCAGGACGTATTGAATGAGTAAATAGCCGCTTTCTCTCACAGAACTTTTTTTAACCTCAGAGGCACGATCTCAGTAGGGTTCCTGCTGGTTGCCAAGGATATAGCAGCACCCAGAAATGTTAAAATGAATTACCACCTATTTGATGGTCAGAAATCGGGCTGGAGCCAAGAAGTCCTTGGCTGCAAGTTGTTGACATACTTGAGACGCTGGCTATCCTCAGCTTCTGGAAAAGGGAGGGAGTTAATATGAGTTTACTGGTAATAATTTAGTAGGATCATCGTATGTGGAGCAATCAGGGCACGGCTCTCTCTGGTAGAATTAAGTACCTTTCTCAGTACCAAGCAGTACTCAGCAGTATAGTGGACTCCCATGCTCTGAGATCAGGTCGTAATATCAGCATGAAAGGCAAAACCCAGCTTTAGTCAGAAGTTCCCATGAAAATCCCTTAGGAAGGGTTTACCTGGAGACCTCCATGCTGTCCCTCGGAAAGTTTCTGGCAACCAGTTTTCCCCCCAGTAGAAGTCAAGACCCATGTCTGTTTCTTCAGATAAACTCCCGTTGAGAAAAGGCTTGTGTGCAGGTATGTCTTTTCCACCCTAGAACCATCCCGTGGGTCCGGAAGCTACAATATTTTTTCAACTGCACACCCATTCCAGGACATGTTCTGATTCACTCAGTTAACCAAGTAATAATCACCAGCTATTTTAAGTGCTGGGGATTCAGCAGTGAACAAAACAGCACTGACGCCCTATTGGTACTTAAGGCCGAGAACAAGCAAATATATGGCATAAGGCCAAAAGTGGTAAGGGCTAAGGGGGGAAAAATATTGTGGCCAGGGAATGGTAGTAGAGAGGGTGTGCATGCAATCTCGGGGCAGTCAAGAGAGGTCTCAGGGACACATGTCTGAGCTGGGAATCTAAGCGGGGAGTGAGCCGCGGGGAAGAGCGTAAGGAACAGCAAGTATAAAGGCTTTGGGGGTAAGGAAAAGACGTGTCAAGTGAACGGAGCAGCAGGGAGGCTAGCGTTTGCATCTGAGGGGTGGAATAGAGAGGGGACAAGGGGTGCTAACAAGGGGTGGCGACTTACTGGGGAGCACGGTGAGTGGGATGCCCTGCTCCAGTCAGACAGCTTTTCTCTCTTTCTCGAGCGCTTATGACATTTGTATAATTAAACATCTGTATGGCTTAACTGCATCATACCCACTTTTCCTTTGGTCATTTTCTCTTCTACTTTTTAACAGTTTGAAAAAAGATAGTGAAGTCTGTCTTCCAGGCCTGTAGTCAGTGGGTTGCCTCGCCAGGATTAGGAAAACCACCCTAAGACCCTCAGATTTCATTCTCACCTAAAAAGCCGTGTGTTTCAAAGAGCTCTCGAATGACTAAGATTGCAGTGACCTTTGCAGGCCGGAAACGGGAACTCACTTCTTCATGCCTGATGTCCTTTTCATTAGATCTTGAAGTGCATCAGCCAGCTGGAGCTCGCTCAGCTGATAGGAACCGGGGTGAAAACGCGCTACCTGTCTGGATCTGGGCGTGAAAGAGAAGGGAGCCTGAAGGGCCACACGTTGGCGGGAGAAGAGTTCATGGGCCTTGGCCTTGGTAAGACACCAGGCCCCACGGCTGGCCGTCGCGGAGTCACAAGTTAACCGGAATGAAATGCTTCCTGTCTCGCAGGACTGTCACGCAAACCAGCTCTTCCTTGTGTGCCCGCTGACAGTATGTTTATTAGTGGACGTGGAAGTGCTGCTTTGGCTCTCTTAACTGTGATTAAACTGTTGAGTAAATGCCTGTTTTATCAAAACCAGCAGGGTGCATTACTTTTCTTTCTGTGCATATTAAGTATATTGGGGGGAGAAGCCATTTACTTCAGAAAGGCTACCGCTTTAGTACCTAGTATTAGAGGAGTGGGGGTGTGTATCTCCAGATTTTGACAAGTAGATGCAGCGCCGCTTCCATGTTCGTTATCTGGAAGGTAGAATGGTTTCTCATTGAATTGAGAGGCTCCCGTCGGTGGGCTCTGACAGCAAATAAGACAAACAAATGTGCCTGGCCACATTCTAAGCACTTGGTTTGCTCATTTTAACTCATTTAATTCTCTCAATCATGCAGTGAGATTGGCACTGTTGTCATCCTCATCTTGTGAATGAAGAAGGTGACGCTGGGCTGAAGTGACCGCCCTTCAGGAAGTGACAGGGGCAGGTTTCCAACCAGGCTGTCTCAGGGGAGAGGGCAGGCAGGCTCCTAGGTCCCAGGGACACTGACTGGAATAGTACAGAGTCGCGATTAAGAGCACAGACCGTGTGAAAGGGGGAGGCTGTACTAGCAGCTGCTGCTTAGGTCGCGTGCAGGGATGGCTAGAGTGAGGTCCTGGAAAGCGCATGGGACGCTGAATAGGTATCGGCCATTCCATCTTCTAGAAGCTCTAAGTTGGTGCTGCTTAATTGTGTATTTGTTCTCTTAAATGTAGGCATTTGACACTGTAAAAATGAGCAAGACTATTAAGAAAGGGAGGTGGTTGGTACAAGCAAGGGAGCTCGTATTTTAAGAATAAGAATGTATTTCAAATGCCAAAGCCTACGTTTAATTTTATCCTGTCATCAGTTGAGGGTGTTTTTGTTTTGTTTTGTTTTGTTGTGCCTGCGAACCATTCTCTTCCGGCTCTTGTCTCTGCATACTGATGCCACAGAATACTTTGATCTAAGTACTTGACTGTTTCTGAAGCGATTCTGATTTTGCGCATTGTGTTTCAGGTAATTTGGTGAGTGGTGGAGTGGATAAAAGACAGATGGCCAGCTTCCAGGAATCAGTTGGTGAGACCAGCTCGCAGAGTGTGGTTGTAGCTGTAGACAGGTAATGATTTTGTCCTCCAGTGAAGCTGGACTGTCCAGGAGCTTGGCAGATCCTCTGTGTGGTTAATGGGTTCTTAATCTGTTTGCCTCTTGTAAGTGTTGTGAGCTCTAGATCACTCGAACTAGGAAGTGGCACACGTGATCCACAGCTACTAATAACCTTCATGTTCATTTGAATTCCTGACCTTTTTAAAAATAAGTGGTTTTGCTCGTTTTAGATTACCTTGTTTCCTTAGTAGACATTACCTTTTAAAAAATTTCAAGAAGGGTTTAAGATGTAAAGCCTGTGTATGAGTGAGAGGTGGCCACATTCATAGTTTGCATTTCTTTTTCCTTAGAACCTTTCCATGATACCTGTTTCCTTAAACTAAACATTCACAAGAAATATAAGTATTCTTATTTAAAGACATTCATTAGATACCAGTATTTAAAATATGAATTTTCCAAAATGAAAAAAGTCCTGAAAAGTACCCTTCAGTCATCATGTACACTGCTGCTCATGTGGTTCATGACCTTTCCCACAGTAGTAAATACAGGCAGTGTTATGGCGCCTGGGTGGCTCAGTCATTAAGCATCTGCATTTGGCTCCGGTCGTGATTCCAGGGTCCTGGGATCGAGCCCCACATCAGGCTCCCTGCTCCAGGGGGAGCCTGCTTCTCCCTCTCCCACACCCCTTGCTTGTATTCCCTCTCTTACCATCTCTCTCTCTCTCTTTCTGTCAAATAAATAAATAAAATCTTTAAAATGAGCTTTAAAAGTTAATAAATAAATATAGACATTGTTGAGATGATAGCAGTATAGAATTGGGGCATAATTTGTATTGTTCTCAGAACAATCCTCTTCATATTTTAAACTCTTTATCAGTGTATTTTGATTACCTTGTTCCTGTTGCTTCCCTGCTTCTCTCCAACAGAGGTACTGTCTGTACCATACTTTTGATGGGTTTTTCCTCACATTTTTCAGTTAGGTTTAGGCTAAAAGTACAAAATGTTTATTCCATTAACCACACTTTTTTCTTTTCTGTTTCTCTGCCTTAGCCAGCTCATGGATACTATTATCCCAGCATCATTTTGTGTGCCATTACATTTTTTTTTTAAATTGAGATATAATTCATATACCAAAAGACTTATTCTTTTAAAATGTCCAATTCAGGAGGTGCCTGGGTGGCTCAGCCAGTTAAGCGTCCAACTCTTGATTTCAGCTCAGGTCATGATCTCAGGGTCATAAGATCATGCTCGTAGGGAGTCTGCTTGAGATTCCTTCCCTCTGCCTCTCCTTTGCCCCTCCCTCCCCTCATGCATATGTGCTTTCTTGCATACACTTTCTCTCTCTCAAATAAATAAATCTTTAAAATATGTGTGTACAGTTCTGTGGGTTTTCATATACTCAGAATTGTGTGGTCAGCACCACTGTCAAATTTCATGCTTGGTCTTAGCCAAAAGGCTGAGAAGCTATTCCATTATTGAATTTCATAGCATTTTCAGCAACCTGTACTTACTATCAGTCATTGCCCATTTTCTCCCCTGCCAGTACTTGTGGCCACTAATCTTCATTCTCTCTGTATAGACTTGCTGATTCTGGGCATTGTTGAATTGTCCATTTCTCCCTTGCGGTTTTATCTGTTGTGCCTTGTGATTTGGGGGCTTTCTTGTTAGGTGCATATGTATTTGTATGTTTTCTTGACAAATTAAACGTTTTATGTTATAAAATGTTCTTTGACTCTAGTAATGATTTTGCAATCTCTTGTCTTATATTGGTGCAGCCACCCAGTTCTCTTTTGGTTACTTTTTGATAAGCTGTGTCTTTTTTATTCCTTAATTTTCAGCCTCTTTGTGTCTTCGAATCTAAAGCAAGTCTCTCTGGGGGCAGCTGGCTGGTTTAGTCTGTAGAGCATGCTACTCTTAATCTCAGAGATATGAGTTCAAGCCCCACGTTGGGTGTAGAGCTTACTTTAAAAAAAAATAATAATAATAATAATAAAGTGAGTTTCTAGACAACAGATGATTGGACCATGTTTATTTTAGTCCATCCACCAATCTCTTCCTTTGAATTAAAGTGTTTTATCTGTTTAGATTTAATTATAATTCAATTGTTGATGGGTAGAATTTAGATCCGTGCTTTTTCTTTTTTTATAAATATGTGTTGTGTCATTTTTTGTTTCTCCATTCCTTCAGTATCACTGCTTACATTGGTGTTAAGAAATTTTCTAGTGTATTATTTTATTTTCCTTGTTTCTTTTACTGTGTTTTTTCAGAGTTTTTCTTACTGATTGCTTTGGGGATCATGATTAATAACATCTTAACTTTAACATTTGACTTTGAGTTAGTGTCCACTTAACTTGAGTAGTATGAAACATCTTGACTCCTATACAGCTCCGTTCTCTGCCCTCTCCTTTCTGTTTCCATATAAGTTACATGTTTATACATACCTGCCCATCAACACAGATTACTGACAATTACTTTTGCCATCCTCAAATCAGATAGATAAAAATGAATTACAAACAGAAAATACATAGTTCCCCAGGCATCTTTACCAGTGTTCTTTCTTTTCTTCAGATACTTTTGACTTATTATCTTTCCTTTGATTTCAACCTGAAGAACTTAGTTTAATATTTCTTATAGGGCAGCTCAGTTAGCAATGAATTATCTCAGATTTTGTTTATCTTAGGATATTTTAGTTACTCCTTCATTTTTTGAAGGTTGGTTTTGGTACATATAGAATTTTTGGTTTGTAGTCTTATTTCAGCACCTTGAATCTGATACCCCACTGCCTTTGACCTCTGTGGTTTGTGATGAGAAATCAACTGATAATTTTCTGTAGGATCCCTTACACAGTGGTGAGTCTCTGCTTTTTTGCTACTTCCAAGATTCTCTCACTCTGTGGCTTTCAACATTTTGATTATTATATGTCTGAGTGTTTGAGTTTATCTTACTGAAGTTTGTTAAGCTTCTTGGATGTGTAGGTTGTTGTTTTTCACCAAATTTGGGGAGTTTTTAGCCATTATTTCTTCAAAAGTTCTTCTAGCCTCTTTCATCTTTTTTTAGGACTCCCTCTTATGTGTATGTCTGTGTACTTGGTAGTGTCTCACAGGTCTGTGACATTTTCTTCATTTCTTCAGTATTCCTTTTTATTTCTGTTCCTCACACTGCATAATCTCATTTAACCCATCTTCAAGTTCACTAATTCTTTTTTTTTTTAATAAATTTTTTAAAAGATTTTATTTATATATTTACAGAGATCACAAGTAGGCAGAGAGGCAGGCAAGGGCGGAGGGTGGGGCTGCTGGGGTAAGCAGGCTCCCTGCCGGGCGAGAGCCCGATGCGGGGCTCGATCCCACGACCCTGTGGTCATGACCTGAGCTGAAGGCAGAGGCTTTAACCCCCTGAGTCACCCAGGTGCCCCAAGTTCACTAATTCTTAAGTCTGCTCAGAACTGATGTTCAGCCCCTCCAGTGAATTTTCCATTCCAGTTTTATAGGTTTCAACTCTAGAATTCCTGATTTTTTTTTTTAAGATTTTATTTATTTATTTGACCAAGAGAAAAAGCACATAAGCAGGGGGAAGGGCAGAGGGAGAAGCAGGCTCCCCACTGAGCAAAGAGCCCGACACAGGACTTGATCTCAGGACTCTGAGATCATGACCTGAGCTGAAGGCAGATGCTTAATGGACTGAGCCACCCAGGAGCCCCTATCACAGGAGGCTTTAAAAAGCTCTGCCATACACCTGGGTGGCTCAGTCCGTTAAGCATTTGCTTTCAGCTAAGGTCATAACCTCAGGGTCCTGGGATTGAGCCCCACATCAGGTTTCTTGCTCTGGGGACTCTCCTTCTCCTTCTGCCCCTCCCCCTGCCTTTGCGCTTTCTCTCTCTCTGTCAAATAACGTCTGCTTCTCCCTCTCCCTCTGTGCGCTCTCTGTCCCTTTCCCTTGCTTTTCTCTCTCTCGCTTTTTTCTTTTTCAAGTAAATAAATAAAATCTTTAAAAAGAATAAAATAAAGCCTCCTGTGGGTGTCTCATTCCCAGCTTTTCCTTTCAGGTTTTTGGCCAGGTCCTTGTTTGTCCCGGTTATAACTGCCACCTCAGGTAGTGACTACAGGTTGCTTTTGACAAAAGCCCCAGGGAGAAGGCTGTTTGCACCAAAAGAGGTCTGAGTCAAAGACAAATCCTGAAAATGGGGGTTTCCAGGGTACTGCCAGGCAGGTCAAATAATGTCAGTTCTCTGAGTCTGGTGTTTTGGGGGAAATTCTAGGACTGTTCTCTTCTCTCCTATGGAGCTAGGTTACTGGTTTCACGGTTACTGTGACTTCAAAGCTGTTGGTTTTCAGCCTTTCTGTGGAGCCGAGAAGACAGTAATGGAAATAGGCCAGCCTAAAACACCATAATAGTCTCTATTTATACCAAGATTGAGCCTTTTTTCTTGAGCAAACATTTTTCCAGCCTTTGGTAATTTCCACAGTGCAGTCCTGAAAGAGAGTGGGTTTGGATAACTTTTTTTTTGCTAGGTTTTTTTTTTTTTTTTTTTTTTTTGTCTTATGGAGGAGCAGCTTTTTGGAGGTCCTCACTCTCCCACCCGCACTATTTTGACATCACATGATGTTATGTTTACTCTTCCTTCCTCCTTTGATGGGTCACTTTTTCTTTCTACCATTATAAGCATTTATGCTCCAGGTTCATTGACCAGTTTTGTACCTCTGATGCCTCAGTCATTTATTTGAGTGGAGGTTCCAGACCTGAAATGCTTCCTTTTTGCCTTTTCTTCAGTGTTTGAAATTGAAATGCAGCTTCCAAATCTAACTTTTATTTTATTGTGTCTGAAATTATCTTCCTAGAATTTTTACTGGATCTACCAGACTGGATGGAAATGCCATAGGTATGTATTTGTCATTCGCGTGTGACAACTACAGAATCCTCATGTTGTGGCTGTCTGGCCATTACTAATGAAGCCTTGCATGTGTTGTTGGGTCTGGCCTGTAGTTGACTTTGTCCGCTGGCTGTGCGCCGTGTCCATGGACGAGCTGGCTTCCCCGCACCACCCCCGCATGTTCAGCTTGCAGAAGATTGTGGAGATATCGTACTACAACATGAACCGGATCCGGCTGCAGTGGTCCCGGATATGGCATGTGATTGGAGATCACTTCAACAAGGTAACTCTTCAGATTCAAAAACCACTCTGTCAGTGTCCAGAAAAAAGCAGGCAACTGTATTCAAAGAAGAAGTGAGAGTTTAGGCACTTAGATTTCCCTGCTATCTAAAAGTAGGACGTTGCTATGAAACCTTTCATAAGCCAAAATGGTGTAAAGCAGAGAGGCAGTTACCATTAATTTCTATGGAAAAGTTGTTGAGCATTCCCACACCCCAAAAATAACCTCTCATAGGCTTTTCTGATACCTTAGGACTGACACATTTTGCTGACAGTGCACAGAATTGAGATAAAGCCCAGATGCTCACTGACATCGTTCAAAGCTCTGGTGGCTTAATGCTGAGATCCTGAGTGGAGTTCTCGGGGAAGGGGCTTGGCAGTGCCACTCTGGCTGCTGGGGCGCGTGCTGCCTCTGTAACAGCTCGCTGCAAAGCAAACGCTCGATGTTATTTTCACTTTCCTACCTTTTTTTGTAAAAGCAAAAATCCCCTTTGGATTTTTCTTTTTTGGTTAGTGAAAATAGATACTAAGGAAGATCTTTCATAAAAGTGAAGTGGTGGGGCACCTGGGTGGCTCAGCTGGTTAAGCATCTGCCTTCAGCTCAGGTCCTGATGTCCAGTTCCTGGGATCGAGCCTCATGTTGGGCTCACAGCTCAGCGGGGAGTCTCCCTCTGCCCCTCCATGTGTTTGTGCTCTCTCTGTTTCTCTCTCAAATGAATAAATAAAATCTTTTAAAAATATATAATAAATAAAAGCAAAGTGGTGCATGGGGTGCCTCGGTGGCACAGTCAGGTAGGTGTCCCAACTCTTTTTTTTTTTTTTTTTTTTTAAGATTTTATTTATCTGAGAGAGAGAGTGAGAGAGAGCATGAGAGGGGAGAAGGTCAGAGGGAGGAGCAGACTCCCCATGGAGCTGGGAGCCTGATGCGGGACTTGATCCCGGGACTCCAGGATCATGACCTGAGCCAAAGGCAGTCACTTAACCAACTGAGCCACCCAGGCACCCTAGTTGTCCCAACTCTTAGTTTGAGGTCAGGTCATGATCTTGGGGTGGTAAGACTGAGCCCCACATCAGGCTTTGCGCTCATTGGAAAGTCTGCTTGAGACTTTCTCTCTCCCTTTTCCTCTGCCCCTCTCCCCATCCTCAAGCGAATGAATAAATCTTTAAAAAAAAAAAAAAAAAGCAAAGCTGTGCAATGTGACATTGCAAGAAGCAGAGGATTGTCATAATTCATTTTCCCTCGAGCATATTTACATACTGATAGGTAACTCGTGGAGTATGAAATTAAAATCTTAGTGGTATTAAAAATACTGTAATATCCCATTTGCAGGGGTGCCTGGGTGGCTCAGTCAAGTGTCTGCCTTCGGTTCATGTCATGATCTCAGGGCCCTGGGATCAAGCCTGTGGGGCTTCCCGCTTGGCGGGAGCCTGCTTCTCCCTCTCTTACCCACCCCCACTTCCCCCTGCCACTTGTGTTCCCTCTCTCCATGTGTCTCTATCAAATAAATAAATAAAATCTTTTTTAAAAAATATACCCCCAGGGCGCCTGGGTGGCTCTGTGGATTAAGCCTCAGCCTTCTGCTCAGCTCATGGTCTCAGGGTCCTGGGATCGAGCCCCACATCGGGCTCCCTGCTTAGCGGGGAGCCTGCTTCCCCCTCTCTCTGCCTGCCTCTCTGCTTACTTGTGATCTCGCTCTCTGTGTCAAATAAATAAATAAAATCTTTTAAAATATATATATCCCATAGTCAAGATGTAGGCTAACACCATAAAAATCATTATAGTCACTGGACAGACATTGGTGTTTGAATGCATGGCAGAATCCTCGAGTGTCTTCTGAATGACCAAAGAGCAAGTTACGTTCTATGTAGTTTCACTGTTAATGTCACTGCTTCTTATATTCTGGCTTTTGTTGCTGCCGCTCTGAAACCTTTGTTGAGAAAACTAGCTTTTATTTTGTTTTATTTTTTAAAGATTTGCTTACTTATTTGAGAGAGAGAGTGCACACACACAAGCTGAGGGAAGGGCAGAGGGAGAGAGACTCTCAAGTAGGCTCCCCACTGAGCGTGGAGCCTGACGCGGGACTCTGTCCCACAGCCCTGAGATCATGACCTGAGCCAAAGTCAAGAGTCGATGCTTAACCAACTCAGCCACCCAGGCATCCCTAGAAAACTAACATTAATTTTTACATCAGAAGCCAGAGATTTGTGTGTTCTAAAACTGACAACTACTGAAAGAAAACCAAACTATACTTGTTTCCCTCCACTAGAGGTTTCATCACATACATACAGGCACATTCACACATATATTAAACAACTTTTTTTTTTAAAGATTTTGCTTATTTATTTGACACAGAGAGAGAGACAGCAAGAAAGGGAACACAAGCAGGGGGAGTGGGAGAGAAAGAAGTGGGAGAGAGAGAAGAAGCAGAGCAGGGAGCCCAATGCAGGACTCGATCCAGGGACCCCAGGATCATGACCTGAGCCAAAGGCAGTGGCTTAACCAACTGAGCCACCCAGGTGCCCCTTAACAAATTTTAAAAAATCAGAACACGTATGTAGTGTGTGTGTGTGTGTGTGTGTGTGTGTATGCATCTGAGATGCCATTAACTTCTTAAAGGAAAAGTAATAGCTCAATAGCACTGTTTCCTACCAAAATATATTCCATTATTTCAAAGCAATTTTCTCACTCCTAGAGATGAAGAATTATAGTATAGATGCTTAGAAGTACTCTGAGTAAAAAACAGCTTATCCAAAAGAGAATTGCGCTCCTTCCATTGAATGGAAGAAACATACAAAAAGAAGCAGGTGACCCTTTCATCTGAACCCTCAGGGAAGACACAGCCACGAGAACCTGCACATGACCCAGACCCACTGTTTGCTGAGCGAGTGGTAGCACCGTCATCAGGCACCAACCAGCAATCAGCAATCATCTTGCTCGCTATTCTGGGTAAACAACTTCTTAGTGGACCAGTCGACTTAAGTGGTGTGAAATTGCTTGAGAGAGGGAACGCGAACCATTATCGTCACTGTGCCTTACCTTGTATTCTCGCCCAAGGCCAGGACCACTAAGCTGGAGCAAACGTTGCTCACTTATTCCGTGAAACCTTGCCACTAGCAGCCGTGGGATCCTTTTTTCTCTCAGAAGTAATAATCCAAAAGTGTTTCAGTAAACCTTTCCCAGCTTTTCTAGAGTCTAGATTTCATGTTCCGTGGGCCTTCTTCAGGAGAGGACATCAGTTTGAACAAGTCACTTTTCCCACCTGCAGTTCTATTGCGAAGGCTCGTTAGATGCCAGTTCTCGGTTACCCGCGGACCACTTATGGGCAGCTCGGGATGTAGGCTGACATAGTGATGAGACAGTCTGTGGCCGTCACCTTCATTACCATTGTCCCTTCCATCTCATCAGAGCCATTAAGCACAAAGTTATGGAAAACTCAGTTGCTCCCTTCGGGGCTCTTCATTCTTTCTACTACCCCAGGAAGATGTTCTGCTTCCCCTCGGGAACTGCAGCACAGAAGAATCTCGTAGGTTTGAAGAAATGGGTGGCTGAAGACAGCTGTAACTTAGCTCTTGGCATTCTGGCAGAGTCTTGGAAACAGTTTCCATGTTTCTCTTCTAAAATAGGACATCTGTGTGTCCTGGGGTGTGCGGAGCTGCACGGTGAGCCCTGGAGTGTATTCCTGCTGCGGGATTTCCTGAATCCTGATGTTGAGGAGAGGAATATTCTTTTTATTAGTATTTACTCTAATGAATATGACATAAACACCTTTTTTTTTTTTTTTTTTTAGAAATTTGGAAGATTTTTTTTTAAAGATTTTATTTATTTATTTGACAGACAGAGATCACAAGTAGTCAGAGAGGCAGACAGAGAGAGCGGGGGGAAGCAGGCTCCCTGCTGAGCAGAGAGTCCAATGCGGGACTCGATCCCAGGACCCTGAGATGACCTGAGCTGAAGGCAGAGGCTTAACCCACTGAGCCACCCAGGTGCCCCTGACATAAACACCTTTTTAAAAAGTACTGCTAAAGCCACGTTTGACCATCACCACTTCCTTTTGAACCCTCCCCAAACTAATTATTACCAGTTTGGTGTATATCTTCCCAGACATTTTTCTATGGACGTTTATATGTATATACTCATAGAAATACAAATAGTATTGTCTTGGTTTCTTTTGCTTTTTTGAAAAAACATAACTAGTATCACACATATCATTTTATTATTTGCTTCCTCCACTTAGCAAGGAATCTTAAACATTTAACTATGTTATTAGTATGTATTAATTTATTCCTTTTTAAATTGTGGTAAAATACACATAAAATTTTTCATTTTAACCATTTATAAATGTACAGTTTATTAACGTTAAGTACATTCATGTTTTGTGCAACAAATCTGTGGAGCTCTTTTCTCATCTTGAAAAACTGAGACTCTAAACCCATTAAATACTAGCTTTCCATTCCTTCCTCACCCAGACCCTGGTAACCACCATTCTGCTTTCTGTCTCTATGATTTTGACTACTCTAGCTACCTCATAGAACTGGAATCAGACAGTATTTGTCCTTTTGTGACTGGTTTCTTTCACTTGGGATCATGTCCTTAAGGTTCATCCACGTTGTAGCATGTGATAGGATTTTCTTATTCTTCTTCTCCTCTTCTCCTCCCTCTCCTTCTTCTCCTCCTTCTCCTCCTTCTCCTTCTTCTTCTTCTTCCTCTTCTTTTTTTAAAGGCTGGACATACTTCTTTTTAACTGCCAAATGTTAACTCCATGCCTGAGAACATACCATTATGTAACCATTTCCTATTGATGTTTCCAATTTTTACTGCAACATTACTTCCATTAAAAATAAAACCTTTTCAGGTCAGACCACATGCCAGGGAAGTTTCTTTCTTGGAGCTGGCTACTGCAAGATGCCCCAGATCCTTTGGCAGGGGTTCTGGTAGGAAACATCCCCTTGCTCTGCTTGAAGGAGTCTTCTTAAGGGAAAAGTCTGAGAAGCAACTACCAAATATATACCCATAACACCAGTCTCTAAAAGTAGGTAAACTATAGACAAGTACAATTTTAAGGAAATTTAAAAAACCTCAATATTTGTGCTGAATTTTTTGAGGCCGATGACACTCACTTATAACCATTTGCTTCAGGTGACAGATCTGGGCAAGTATGCAAAGCTTTACAGAGGGGCACCTGGGTGGCTCAGTCCTTAAGCATCTGCCTTCAGCTCAAGTCATGATCTCAGGGTCCTGAGATTGAGCCCCACATCGGGCTCCCTGCTCAGCAGGGACCCTACTTCTCCCTTTTCCGCTCCCCCTGCTTGTGTTCCCTCTGTCACTGTCTCTCTCTCTCTCAAATAAATAAATAAAATCTTTAAAAAGAAAAGGCTTTACAGAGACTTTAAAGTCTTTTGACCTCTCTTGTATAATCAGATAAAATTAATTAGAGCACAACATGGGGAATTGTTTAATAGACACAGAGTTTCAGCTTTGCTGGAGTTCTGGAGATGTGGTGCCCAGCAGTGAGGACGTCCTTACCACGACTGAACTGTACACTTCAACATGGTTAAGATCATAACTTTTGTGTTTTATGTTTATTTTGCCACAATCTTTAAGAAATTAAATAGCACATTTGAAAGCACTTTAAATGTGCAGTACTGATCTTGCATCTTTTTTTTTTTTTTTAAGATTTTATTTATTTATTTATTTATTTATTTGACAGAGAAAGAGAGAGATCACAAGTAGGCACAGAGTCAGGCAGAGAGAGAGAGGGAAGAAAGCTTCCCGCCAAGCAGAGAGCCCAGATGCGGGGCTCGATCCCAGGACCCTGAGATCATGACCCGAGCTGAAGGCAGAGGCTCAACCCACTGAGCCACCCATTTTGCATCATTAAACTTAAAACAGAATTGCCCAGGTCATAGCCAAGAAACACCATTTTCTTTTCTCCTTAGGTATGCTTTTTCCAGAGCATTTGTTTTGAAGGCAGGCTATCTGTCTGTGGCACCCAGAACCCCGCCTCCGCCACTCTTGTACTGTGCCTCTCTCACTTCGCCTCCCATTCCTGCTCAGGTTGGCTGTAACCCCAACGAAGACGTGGCGATCTTCGCTGTTGACTCCTTAAGGCAACTCTCTATGAAGTTTCTCGAGAAGGGAGAATTAGCCAACTTCCGTTTCCAGAAAGATTTTCTGAGGCCCTTTGAGCATATCATGAAGAAAAACAGGTATGTGCATTGTCATATTCCCCACTGGTGGCCTAAACAGACCTCCGACACTAATCACACAGTTGGTATTTTCTTCCTTTGTTGATGGAAATAGGTAAGATGAGCAGACTGTGATTCACATGTATCATTTCTAAGTACATCACTGAGATCTGTGTGTGACCATTCCCGGAAGGACAGATGACACCACAACTAGTGGAAATGTGCCATGCATTCTCACTGGGGTGGGCGCTGACATTGTTCAGAGAAAGAGCCGTCGCCGAGGCATCCTAAAACAGGGCCAAGAATTATATGACCCAGTAAGGGGTTGGTCTCATAAACCGAAGAATTATGTGACCCATCGTTTCTGCCCCAAGAGGGTGATAGAAAAGATGGGGACAACTGTCCCTTTGAAGCACTCACCATGTTCCTGTGTTCACTTGGCCTATATCCTTGCAGCCTGCCAGCAGCCTGTGCCCTTCTGGGTGCTGACTAGACAGCACTAAAGAAAACAGTCAAAAATTCCTGTTTTTGTCTGGCTCTGATTTAATCATCGGGGCAGCTGCATATGTGGGTGTTCATTACCATATCCTCTTTACTTTTGTGTGTGTTTGAAGTTTGCCATAATGAAATTAGACAGTAAATCCTTGTTTAGAGGCACCTGGGTGGCTCAGTCCGTAAAGCATCTGCCTTTGGCTCGGGTCATGATCCTGGGGTCCTGGGATGGATTCCCGTGTCAGGCTCCCTGCTCAGCGGAGATCCTGCTTCTCCCTCTGCTGTTCCCCCTGCTTGTGCGCTCTCTCTGTCTGTCAAGTAAATAAGTAAAATCTAAAAAAAAAAAAAAAACCACCAAAACACCTTGTTTATATTCTAGTGAAATAAACAAGTAAATAAATGTTTAAATCAAGGCAACCAAGATGCATTGGGTAAGTTGACCCTTAAGCAAAGTGAGGAACCAGCCAGGAGTGGCTCTACGTGGTCTTGGGAAGAGTATTGGGAGCAGAGAGAAGAGCAAGAACAGAAGCCCTGAGGCCCAGTGTCCTTAGCATCACCAGGAGGAGCAAGGCGGCCAGGCTGGGCGGGCAGAGTAAACAAGGCAGGAAGTCCTGGTGGGTGAAGCCCTCGTGGCAGTGGAGCTGTCAGCCTTTGTCAGTACTTGGGTTTGTTCTCTGTGAAAGACACAAGCCACTGGAGGCTTTGAGCAGAGAAGTGAAATGGTCTGACGTGTGTTACGGGATCATCCTGCATTTGCCCATGGAGAATGAAAAGCCGCCATCATTGTTCAGATTTGCACCAGGGGGATGAGGTGCCATGGGATTGGATTCTGGGTACATTCTGAATGGAAAGCCTACACCGTGTGCTGAGGAATTAGCTGTGGGGCGTAAAAGGAGGAAATGTCAAGGATGGCTTTCAGGTGTCTGTCCCCACCACTAAAATGTGTCCATGAGATCTGCTTAGATTGCTGTGTATGTTTTGGGTGGGTTTTTTATGTCGTTTTTGTTTTTTTTTTTTTTTTTTTTTAAAGAAAATGAAAGCTTATGAATTCAAAGGCCATAGCCAACATGGGTCGTTTGGGGTAACAAAAACAGCAGCAGAAAGTCTTCCTGATAGTCTCTCTGTTTTTCTCTTACTGCTCATTTTAAGACAAAGCCCATTCCAGAATTTGGCATCACCCCGATTTTATTTTTATTTACTTATTTTAGAGAGAGCAGGAGGCAGGGAGGAAAGAGAGACTCCTAAGCAGACCCCATCCCCAGCAAGGAGCCCAACATGGGACTTGATCTCCTGACCCTGAGATCATGACCTGAGCTGAAATCAAGAGTCAAATGATCAACTGACAGGGATTTCAGTCAAGGCGCCCTTCCCCCCTGATTATTTTAATGTATGCACAGAAATACCCTCCTACCTTTGGGGACACTGCTGGGAGTGCTGAGGAGATGGAAGTCTGGCGTGGCAGCCTGCCTGCTTGGGTGGTGCCGCTGATGGCCAGAATCCCAGCCAGCATTTGAAAAGAGACAGTGAGTTTGGAATCAGGCATTGCCAGTCACTGTCGGACGCTGTTGATGGAACTATAACTTGCTATAACATTTTCAAAAGTATCTGGGCAGTGTGCAAGAACCTTAACATTTCTCTGCCTTTTGACTCACTAATTCTACACTTATGTAACTCTTCTAAGGAATTAACTTTGAAATACAACAAGACATTGTAAATCACAAAAAGTAACTAAAAAAAAAACAGCTAACACCTAAATACAAAAGTGTAAACTCAGTGTTGGTACAGCCACAACATGGAATATTGTGCAGCTGTTAAAGATGTTTACAGTGTTTGTTACACAGGAAATACTTAATGCTTTAGTCAAAAGGTCAAGTTATGGAATTGGACAGTGTAATAAGGACAGTTTTATCAATCTCTCCATGTGAAATATCGTACTGTCACAAAATGGAATTTTTTTGTTTCATTACATGTTTTCTACATTTTCCGAAATATTTGTTGTCATCACATATTACTGTTAATAATCAGGCAAAAAGCATCTTGATTTTTTTTTTTTTAAGTAAACTTTCCTTTTTTAATATTTTATTTTGGAGAGAGTGAGAAAGCACAAGCAGGGGAAGGGGCAGAGGGAGAAGCAGGCTCACCACTGAACAGGGGGCCCGATGCAGGGCTCGATCTCAGGACTCCGGGATCATGACCTGAGCCAAAGACAGGACCCTTAACCGACTGAGCCACCCAGGTGCCCCTTATTATTATTTTTTTTTTACACAGGGCATGAACTCATGACCCGAGATCAAGAGTTGGACACTTAACTGACTGAGCGATCCAGACACCCCAAAAAGCATTTTTTTTTTAAAGATTTTGTTTATTTGTGTGTGTGAGAGAGAGAACGTGTGTGAGCAGGGAGAAGAGCATAGGGAGAGGGACAGACAGACTCCATGCTGAGCATAGAGCCCAACACAGGGCTCAGTCTCACAACCCCAAGGTCAAGAGTTGGATGCTTAACTGACTGACCCAACCAGGCACCCCCTGAAAAGCATTTTTAAAAAGTACATGTAGAGGGGTACCTGGGTGGCTCAGCTGGTTGAGTACCGACTCTTGATTTCAGCTTCTGACTCTAGGTCACGCAGGATGCAGGATCATGAGACTGAGCCCCGCACCGGGCTCCACGCTGAGTGCGGAGTCTGCTTGAGATTCTCTCTCTCCCTCTGCCTCTCCCCGCCCCACTCATGTTCTTCCCCCACCCCCACCCCCTCAAATCTTTAAAAAGTACATGTAGTTCTTCCCAGTGAGCTGCTTTTCTTCCCGATGGGGGATGCAGTCATGCATTCAATCTTATTATGTACTGAAGTCACCTCGGTATCTAGTCACTCCTTTGTTACCTATGGGAGACGTATTTGCTTTGTGGACTCTTAGCTAAGTTTTAACTCTTTTGACTTTCTCCTGGTCTTCCCTAAATGACCTATTATCAGTTAGTGTGGATCCCACAGATGAAAATGAATGTTACCCTAAGCCAGATAAAATTTGCAAATCAAGTTTGCAATCCCAAAGCCACGCTAATGGGTTTCAAAGCTAGTGATGTGTGGAAGAGATAGGTTTGTGTAGCCTTGCTGCTTGTTGTTTGTATGATAATAGTGCCCACCCCATAATTGCAAATGTCTTAATAGATTGCAAGACATACGTGCTAACCTTTTGCAAATATCCAAGTAACACTGTGTTGAACCTTGCGGCTGCTTCAGAAAATGGGCCATTTTTTGGTCAGGTTTGGTTTTGTAATGATTAAATTTAAAATTTTGCATCTTAAATTAACATTTGTATATTCCCATCCATTTATATGTGTTTATCTTACACATATATCCCTGCCTAAAAATCCAAGAAGATAGGCACCAAGAATTTAGGAATAGTCATCTCTGAGGACTCAAAATTATGAGTATCATCAGTGTAAAGGTTTTCAGCCCAAAAAACTGACCAACGGTGCCTTGAACCACAAGGCTGTGTATTGTTTACTTAACAAGTCAGAGGCACGCGTACCCAACTTTGGTTCCATAGCCCAAATTGTCATTGAGGATCCAGCTTCTTTCTTTTTGCTATTTTTTTAAAAGATTTTATTTATTTATTTATTTATTTATTTATTTATTTGAAAGAGAGAGAGAGAGCGGGGGAGGGGTGGAGGCAGAGAGAGAAGCAGACTCTCTGCTGAGCAGGGAACCCCATGAGGGACTTGCTCCCAGGACCCTGGGATCATGACCCAGGCCGAAGGCAGATGCTTCACCAGCTGAGCCATCTAGACACCCAAGGACCCAGCTTCTTTCTGTTCCTTGTTTGTCCATCCACAGGATCACTTTTTATCTTTGACAAAGCCTGTTGTTTTGTGATGCTGAACAGAGGCTCTAGCTCCAGGCATCATACTGTGTTCAAAATGGGGATACCAAGAAAGGGGGCAGAGCCTACCATGTGTCTTCTTTATAAGACAGAAAACTATAGTAAAAACCCGTCCCCTTCACATTCCCCCAGATTTTCCTCTTATGAGTCATTAGAACAAGTCATGTAGCTCCCTTGGCTACAAGGGAGACTGGGGCATGGCGGACCTGGCACATGAGACAAGATTGTCATGTTGTCTTGTCCTGGTCATGACTGGCTCCCTGAGGTCAGGCATGTTGCTGCCTGCATGATATCAGAATTCTCTTTTTTTTTTTAAATCAGAGTTCTCTTATCAAGGAGGTGGGAGGATGGTGCTAGGAAAGCATCTGACTGTCTGCCCAGTGATTGTCTTAATGTTTTTTGTTGTTGTATCTAGTTTAATTTTTTTTTAGTGAATGTGGATTACTATGTAAAATCTGCTTTTAAAAATGCATTTTTTGTCGAGGGGAGGGCATCTGCGTGGCTCAGTTAAGCATCCCACCGTTGATCTCAGCTCAGGTGTTTGCCTCAGGCTCATGAGTTCAAGCCCCATGTCCAGCTCGAAAAAAATAAAATAAAAACAGAAAAATAAAAATGAGGTTTTTCTGGGGCACCTGGGTGGCTCAGTGGGTTAAAGCCTCTGCCTTTAGCTCGGGTCATGATCCCGGGGTCCTGGGATCGAGCCCCACATTGGGCTCTCTGCTCCACGGGGAGCCTGCTTTCTCCTTTCTCTCTGGCTGCTTGTGATCTCTGTCTGTCAAATAAATAAATAAAATCTTTAAAAAAAAATGAGGTTTTTCTTTTTAAGACTTTATTTATTTGACAGAGAGAGAGAGATCACAAGTAGGCAGAGAGGCAGGCATGGGGGAGGGGGAAGCAGGCCCCATGCAGGGCTCGATCCCAGGACCCTGAGTTCATGACCTGAGCCGAAGGCAGAGGCTCACTCCACTGAGCCACCCAGGTGCCCCCAAAATGCAGGTTTTTCCATGTTCATTTCTCTTTCTCCATTCAGAGTACAAATGACATGGCTGCCCCCTTCTTTCCTTAGGTCTCCAACCATCCGGGACATGGTGATCCGCTGTGTTGCGCAGATGGTGAACTCCCAAGCAGCCAACATCCGCTCGGGCTGGAAGAACATCTTTGCTGTGTTCCACCAGGCAGCCTCAGATCACGACGGGAACATTGTGGAGCTGGCCTTCCAGACCACGGGCCACATCGTCAGTAAGTGGCTCTAATGTCGCACCTGCAAACCTAGAAGGGTGACCACTTACTTCCTGTTTTACTCCGCAAAGAGGCTTCCTTGTTTCAGGTCTACTCTGATAGGATAACGTGCCAGGAGGTGTTCTGAGCTCTTAATATGTGCTTAGACATGTGCACAGAAACCCTGTGAAGGAAGCACAGTTGATTCTCATTATTTGCAACCACAAAACCAGTGCTCCCGGCGCTTTCGTGGTTGTTTGTGGACATGTGTGTGTGCATTTAGCGGGGCTGTACTTGAGTCATCCAGGCACGTGTTCCCAGCCCAGGCTAACAAGGCGACTCTCTGCCTTCTGATTTCAGCTCTCTCACTATAAATAAGTAAATGTCCTTTCCATGGTTTACTTACTGCCACCATCTTTTTGTTGGTCCCATTTTAAATGGCCCTGAAGGGGGCGCCTGGGTGGCTCAGTCGGTTAAGCATCTGCCTTCAGCTCAGGTCGTGATCTCAGGGTCCTGGGAACAAGTGCAACACCAGGCTCCCACTGTGTCTGCCTCTGTCTCTCATGAATAAATAATTGAAATCTTAAAAAAATACATAGGACGCCTGGGGGCTCAGTCGTTAAGCATCTGCCTTCAGCTCAGGTCGTGATCCCAGGGTCCTGGGATCGAGCCCCGTATCGGGATCCCTGCTCAGCAGAGAGCCTGCTTCTCCCTCTCCCTCTCCCTCTCCCCCTGCTTGTATTCCCTCTCTCACTGTCTCTCTCTCTGTCAAATAAATAATAAAATCTTTAAAGCAAAAATGAATAAATAAAATAGCCCTGAAGCGCAGTGCTAGAGTGCTATCTGGTGTCCCTGAGCACAGGAAGGCTGTGATGTGCCTTATAGAGAAAATGTATGTTTTCAATAAGCTTCATTCAAGCTTGAGTTAAAGTGCTGTTGGCCAAAAGTTCAGTGTTGAACCCAATACTATGTCTTATGTGTGTTGAAACACACATGAAACAAGGTTCTGCATTGATTGGTTGCTTAAAACATGTGACCAGAGGCTCACAGAACCTACCTCCACACCTCCCCTGGGAGCAGTGGCTCTTCCCCGTGGGCGTGGTCAGTGTTCACAGTCGACTTACAGAACACAACTACCATGAATAACGAGAATTGGCTGTGCCAATACTCCCCACAGTTGACCAGAGAGGAAACTGAGGGACCGAAAAGTAAAGTAGAATAACTTGCCTGAGGTCACACAGCTAGGAAGTAGTGGGGCAAGGTTCACTCCCAGACAGGCCAGCCCAGAGTTGGCACCATGTCTTTCCCTTCTGGACTGACCAGACGGCCCTAGTCCTGCCTGTCATCACACCACAGGCTGTTTACTCATCTTGGCCTTTGTAACGGTGAGAAAGCATCAGATTAGCTTTAATCTTTTTTGAGATCTTTTAACTCTTTTTTTTTTTAACGTTTCATTTATTTATTTATTTATTTGTCAGAAAGAGAGAGAGAGAGAGAGAGAGCGAGCCCAAGAGAGAGAGCCCAAGCAGGCAGAGCGGCAGGCAGAGGCAGAGAGAGAAGCAGACTCCCCGATGAGCAAGGAGCCCAATGTGGAACTCGATCCCAGGACCCTGGGATCATGACCTGAGCCGAAGGCAGCAGCTTAACCACTGAGCCACCCAGGCATCCCGAGATCTTTTAACTTTTTTTTTTTAAGATTTTATTTATTTATTTGACAGACAGAGATCACAAGTAGGCAGAGGCAGGCAGAGAGAGAGGAAAGGAAGCAGGCTCCCCGCTGAGCAGAGAGCCTGATGTGGGGCTCGATCCCAGGACCCTGGGATCATGACCTGTGCCGAAGGCAGAGGCTTTAACCCACTGAACCACCCAGGCGTCCCGAGATCTTTTAACTCTTAAGAAGCTTCTTGCTACTTATATTTTGTCTTAGGTGATGTTCGTAGGATTTTGGAAGACCTTAGACTTCTGAATTGCCTTTCACCCTTAGCTCATTGACCTTCTTTATCTCCCTTTGTCTTTACAGCATTCCACCCAGGTAGCACGCGGTGTGGTCTTGGGATAGGGACGGCCAGAGAGTTAAAGGAGAGTGCTCAGGGTCACTGAACCAGGGCTAGAGCTTCCATCAGGCAGACCACTGAGGGCCAACTTCACACACAGATCAGTGTTTATTCTACCCATTTCCTCCAGCTCCAACCTAAAATAGCTGAAATTGAAATGGACACCTTGGCATCCTGGTGAAACTTGATTTTCTCGTGGCTTGTCCTCTCTCACTTCCTTGGGGACACTTGATAGGGCCTCTTCAGAGAGTCCTTCTCTGACCCCCAGCTTAAGCAGCCCCTGCTGCGTTCTTTCCTCTCACCCAGCACTCACCGAACCTCAGATTATTTTATAAGTATTGCCTTAGGCGATTATTGTCTATCTTGCCCATTGGAGCACGAGTTTCATGAAGCAGGAAATTTCATTGGTTACCTCTGTCCCAAGGACCCACAACTGTGCTTCGCTCATAGTTGGCACTCAGTAAATGTTTGATGGATGGCTGGCTGGCTGGATGGATGAAAGAATGAGTGAGTGAGTGAAAGTACTGGAGCTCAGGAACCAGTTTAGCCCAGGCAGTGCCCAATCAATTCATTCTTGAATCGATTTCCTGAACAATTTAATAAGAAATGCTGTCTCCTAGAGATAGTGACATGCTTTTCTTAGATTTTCACAGAAGTAGTCCCCTCAGGGTGGGAGGTGTAGGATCCCCATTTGTAAGTCTCTGGTCTTATGAAAAACATGGCTTTGTTTCCGCAGCAACTATCTTCCAGCACCATTTCCCTGCAGCCATCGATTCCTTTCAGGACGCTGTGAAGTGCTTGTCGGAGTTTGCCTGCAACGCGGCCTTCCCCGACACGAGCATGGAGGCCATTCGACTCATCCGCTTCTGTGGGAAATACGTCTCTGAGAGGCCTCGGGTACGTCACTTCCTCTCCTCCCTCCTGGGCACTGAGGAGAAAAGGAATCGCAAAGAGTGTTTCCGGCTACACTTCCAGAAATGCATGTTTGCCCTAAACTGGGCATTCACTTCAAAATGCTGCCTGTTACTGGGGTTCTACCCCTTCTCTTGTTTTGCATGTATGAAATTACTTCTTTTACTCCTACTGAACTTCTACCTACCGTTCTGTCAACTGGTTTTATAGAAGATGATAGTATTTAGCTTTGAATTGTGGCAAAGCTGAAGAAGCTAGACGTTTCTGTTTGAAAGGAAGCAAACCTCCCTCTTAAGGAAATGAGATTTTACCATTGTGACATGGCTGAGAAGTTACATTTTTAAAAATCGCCTTTTGTTTTCTCCCAGAAATGTTTGGGGCTTTTATGTCTCACCTTTCCGAAGAGGCCCACTTGGTTTAAATAGCAGTCTCGGACACTGAAATTGGGTAGAAATAAGCACATCTAAACTATGATACAGATCCCTCCTTCAGACCTTTTCTGTGTATCGATGTGTTTAGTTTCCACATCAGACCTATGAGATTGGCAATTATGTCCCCGTTGTACCGGGGGCATTGACAGAGGCTCAGAGAGAAATTGCCTAATGTTGGGTAACCAGAGCTGATAAAGAAATTTCATTACAACAGACAGTACCTCGCTTCAAGAGTGATTACAGATCAAAGGGCTCAAAATCCCAGAGGTAGGACAGGGAGTAGAGCTTCACATCCAGACTGGGAAAGACTGCCAGCTCCTAGCTGCATGACCTTGGGCAGCTGACTTCATATTCTAGTGCCTCAGTTAACTTAGCAGTGACCTGCCCACTCAACTTGTTCCAAAACCCACGAAGGTCCGTAGGCATAACTGCTCATATGTACTTGGGAGAGGCTTATGTTTGCCTCCTGAGGATTTCCTATCCTGCCCTTGCTGAACGGTTGTTGTTAGAGGGGGAAATGTGTGAGGCCTTAATCTTCATGTAGTTCCCTTTTAGTTTCTTCCTTTGCTTGCATAGACTACATCTGAGAGGTGACTCTCCCGGCAGGTGCTACAGGAATACACCAGCGATGACATGAATGTGGCTCCTGGCGACAGGGTCTGGGTCCGAGGCTGGTTCCCCATCCTGTTTGAGCTCTCCTGCATCATTAACAGATGCAAGCTAGATGTTCGGACAAGGTAACCATGTCCCAGGATGGTGCCCCTTCCGCCACAGAATGAACCTCAGTCACCTGCTCACCTGACCCCATGCTCTCGCCCTCTCTTCTCTGCTGTTCTTTCCTCTCTTCCCCCCATTCCCTCTCTGCACCTGACTTTGTTCCTCCAGAGGACTCACGGTCATGTTTGAGATCATGAAGAGCTACGGTCACACCTTTGAAAAGCACTGGTGGCAGGACCTGTTCAGAATCGTGTTCAGGATTTTTGACAATATGAAACTCCCTGAGCAGCAGTCGGAGGTAGGTGATGACTGAAGCGGTGCCCTGGACATGGTGGTGGGGGTGGGAATGGGAGGGGACTCTCTGCTTTCATCAGCTGCAGGGTTGCATCATGATCCCCATGCAAGTCTTACACTTCGAGCTTCTGGGGTGTATTTTAAAATGGAAACCGCCAGGGCGCCTGAGTGGCTCAGCTGGTTAAGTCTCTGCCTTTGGCACAGGTCATGATCCCTAGGTCCTGAGATCGAGCCCTGCATTGGGCTCTCTGCCTCTCGGGGACCCTGCTTCCCCCTCTCTCTGCCTGCCTCTCTGCCTACTTGTGATCTCTGCCTGTCAAATAAATAAATAAATAAAATCTTTTAAAAAAAATAAAATAAAAAAATCTTAAGGAAAAAAAAGGAATGCCAGCACACACCATAAACTGCCTTTTCAACTTAAGACATGAGTGCTTTTCTACAATCCTGAGTCTTCCATGATGTTTTTTCAAAGCTGCAAAATATTTCTAGCTGCACATATCCCCTGGTCCATAAGAAGTTATTTCCAGTTTCTCTTAGCCCTGAAATGAATGTTCTTAGCCGCTACCTTTGTCCTTGTTTTTTTCTTCGTTTACTTGGGGCAAGTGGTGTATCAGGTTTGGAGCTTGCACATTACTGGGGCTTTTGATACGTACTTGTAAGTTACTTCCAAATAAATTTGCAGCCTTTTATTCTTGAGCGATGCGTGAGCATCCCTGTTTCTCCATGCCCACCGTGGCTCTCCCTATCTCTCTGCACCTCACATGGGGCTCAAACTCACGATCTGGAAACAGAGTTACACGTTCTTCCATCTGAGCCAGCCAAGCGCCTCAGTTTTTTTGTTTTGTTTTTCTTTTTTAGAGAGAGTGCACGTGCATGAGGGAGTGGGAAGGAGCAGAGAGAATTTTTTTTTAAGATTTATTTGTTTGAGACCACGCATGAACAGAGGAAGTGGCAGGGGGAGGAGGGGAGAGAGAGAGAGAAACAGACTAACCTGCTCAGCAGGGAGCCAGACACCCAGACACCACAACCTGAGCCAAAATCAAGAGCTGGACACTTGACTGACCAAGCCACCAGGCGTCCCAGGAGGAGAATCTTAAGCAGACTCCATGCCCAGCGTGGAGCCCAACATGGGACTCGATCTCATGATCCTGAGAAACCACAAGTCAGACATTCAACTGACTGAGCCACCAGGTGCCCCTGCCTCAGAGTTTTTTAATGGCTAGTGAGGTTGCATACTTTTTTTCACTTTACTAATTAACATTTCTTCTTTTATGAATTGGTGTTTCACATCCTTAGCCCATCTCTTGAGTTAGTCACCTCTTTTCCTATTGTTTTAAGAGCTTTCAGTGTATACATAAAGTAGTATGTCCTTACATAAATTGCAGATGATTTTGCCCACTTTGTTATGCTCATTTTCTTCTCATTTTAGAAAATGTTAGCTTTTAAAGAATCAAATCTAGCAGTCTTTCCCCTTATGGTTTCCACTTTTGGAATCTTGTTTAGCAGTACCAACAACCCCTCCCTATTCGATGATTTTCTGAATCTCTCTCTATATTAAATACTTGAAATAGTGCCATGAAATTACCAGAGGTAAATTTTTGGTGTAAAAAGTTGTAGTTAGCATAATCTCATATTCACTTTTTCCAAATCATTCAGTTGCTGTCTTGCTGGGTATTGGTTCGTATCTGTGTTTTCAGCGTGAAATGTCAGTGTGGTGTAAACATCTTTATTCACAGACCTTCACACTCAGATCTTCAATTCTTTTTTTTTTTTTTAAGATTTTTATTTACTTACTTGACAGAGAGAGATCACAAGTAGGCATAGAGACAGGCGGTGGGGGTGGGGGGAAACAGGCTCCCTGTTGAGCAGAGAGCCCAATGCGGGGCTCAATCCCAGGACTCCGAGATCACTACCTGAGCTGAAGGCAGAGGCTTAACCCACTGAGCCACCCAGGCGTCCCAGATCTTTGATTCTTTCCTTAGAGTCTGTTCCTGTCAGCCCTGTTCCTACACCTGTGGGTGTGAGTGTTGTAAAGACTGTTGACGGACACTGCCAGGTTGCACACCAGAACAGCTATGCCCATCATGTAGGAGAGTGCCATCTCCCCACAAGGAGAGTGGCCTCTCAACATTACCTTTTTGTTTTTTCAGAAATCTGAGTGGATGACGACAACTTGCAATCACGCCCTCTATGCCATCTGTGACGTGTTCACCCAGTTTTACGAAGCTCTGAATGAAGTACTTCTTTCTGATGTGTTTGCACAGTTGCAGTGGTGTGTGAAACAAGGTACTCGCTATGTCTCTGGCTGTCATTCTTCTTGCCTTAATTTTTAATGGGAGTTGAATTTTTTCAATATGTAAAAGCAAGAAGGTAATGCCAAGGAATTACAGTATATAATTTAATTTGGGAAAATGTGTATTTTTACATAATTGGAGTATAAAAACAATCTCCCCAAGCCAGTTTATAAAGCACTTCTTAAAGATAGGTTGTAATTATTATTATATCTTAGAAAATTTGCCTTTATATATTATACTTTTTTTTTCTACTTTTGTCTACATTTGAAATTTTCCGTAATGTTTTTAAATTTTTTTTTAAATATTTTATTTATTTATTCGACAGAGACATCACAAGTAGGCAGAGAGGCAGGCAGAGAGAGGAAGGGGGAAGCAGGCTCCCCGGCGAGCAGAGAGCCCGATGTGGGGCTCGATCCCAGGAACCTGGGATCATGACCTGAGCCGAAGGCAGAGGCTTAACCCACTGAGCCACCCAGGCGCCCCATCCGTAATGTTTTTAAAATGTACAATGGGGGTCAGGTAGCAACAGCTTCATCAGCGGACATTTCCATTTGAGTACTTAAGTGCCGAGAGAGTGCATACTAGGAAAAATACCCACTTAGCCCATCTGACCTGGATTCTATAGATAGTTTTGGCTTAGGACAAAGCTTCAGTGTGTTAAGTTTTTCCAAAAAGTGACTCAGTTTTAAAATAAATGATAAAACAGTTAATACCAGTATGGCAGTGTTTGAGGGACGAAATTTAGAGAAACGCTGGTCTAATATTTCCATCTTTTACCATTCATCATACAAGAAACCAGTTAATTAAGTCACAAACTGACCTTCTTCCATCCCTAGCAATAAAGCTGTGATAAATAATTTTATCTCATTATAGCCTGCTTAAATAATAAAAGTTGTAATACCGTCGGGATCGTTGCTTCCTTAAATAAGAGCCTGCAGAAACCCCCTTCCCGCCCTGCGTCATGTCATCTCCACCCCATGATATGAAGCATGAGTGCCCTGGTGGGAATGAAAACCGCAGTGGAAGTTTGGTGATGAATATCACTTTATTTTGCAGATAATGAGCAGTTGGCTCGGTCAGGTACCAATTGCTTAGAAAACTTAGTCATATCCAATGGGGAGAAATTCAGCCCGGACGTCTGGGATGAGACGTGCATTTGTATGCTGGATATCTTCAAAACCACCATCCCACACGTGTGAGTACGCATGTGCCTCTCGCTGTTGATTTCCGCGCCCAGCAGACATCTTAAGACTCCCAAGTTGCCTTTCACATGGATCATTTTCCTTCTCTTGCGTTCCCTTCAGCTTGCTGACCTGGAGACCTGCAGGAATGGAGGAAGATTCGTCAGAAAAACATTTGGTAGGGTTCTTTGTTGTTGTCTTTTCTCTGATCTCCTGTTAGAGCAAAAAATGAAGCAATCCAAAGAGTTTATGCTTTTCTGATGGGAAGTGAGTAAAAAAGATTATAAGATTTAAAAACTAGGGGCACGGGGCGCCTGGGTGGCTCAGTGGGTTAAAGCCTCTGCCTTCGGCTTAGGTCATGATCCCAGGGTCCTGGGATCGAGCCCCACATCAGGCTCTCTGCTCAGTGGGGAGCCTGCTTCCTCCTCTCTCTCTCTCTGCCTGTCTCTCTGCCTACTTGTGATCTCTGTCTGTCAAATAAATAAATAAAATCTTAAAAAAAAAAAACAAAACTAGGGGTACCTGGCTGGCTCGATGGTGGAGCTTGCAGCTCTTAATCTCAGGGTCGTGAGTTAAGCCCCACGTTGGGGGTAGAGATGACTTTAAAAACAGAAAAGGGTGAAGCTTGACATCTATATGTGTTCATTAGCATCAGTTCTAGAAAATACAGAAATTAAGTCACCTCACCCCATAAAAACCAGTTTACCTTTCTAGTTTTTTCTTTGTGTAACGGCTGTCATCTAACCCACGCATGTTTGAAATTTGGGCATACTCGGCACATAACATTTTACCTAACAGCATGTGAGCATTTTTCCAGATTCTTTCTTTTTTTTCTTTTTTTTTTTTTTTTAGATTTATTTGACAGCGAGAGATCACAAGTAGGCAGAGAGGCAGGCAGAGAGAGAGTGGGGCAAGCAGGCTCCCTGCCAAGCAGAGAGCCCAATGCGGGGCTCAACTCCAGGATCCTGAGATCATGACTTGAGCCGAAGGCAGAGGCTTAACCCACTGAGCTACCCAGGCGCCCTTTCCATATTCTTAAATATTCTTTGAGAGCATATTTTTCAGTGGCTGTACGTTATTGTAATCTATTTAACAAATTCTCCCTTGTTGAACTCTCAGTCCCGGTGTTTTGCTGATAGAAATAATGCCTTGATATAATTATCCTTATTTATTATCTTAAATAAAGAATGCTTTTCTCCACACCTGTGAGATAGTGGTTCTTATTTTCTGTGTGAGGCCACATAGAGAAGTTCTGATTCAAGTCTCACTTTTAAATACCTTGGTGTGGGGCGCCTGGGTGGCTCAGTGGGTTAAAGCCTCTGCCTTCGGCTTAGGTCATGATCTCAGGGTCCTGGGATCGAGCCCCACATCGGGCTCCCTGCTCAGCAGGGAGCCTGCTTCCCTCTCTCTCTCTCTGCCTCCCTCTCTGTCTACTTGTGATCTCTCTCTGTCAAATAAATAAAATCTTTTAAAAAAAGTAAATAAATACCTTGGTGTACAGGGGCTTTGTATTATTAACTTCTATTTCCAGATAACTGTAAGGCCATCAGATTTTTCTTTTCCCCAAGATTGATTGATTGATTGATTTGACAGAGAGATAGAGAGCACAAGGAGGCAGAGCAGCAGGCAGAGGGAGAAGGAGAAACAGGCTCTCCACTGAGTAGGGAGCCCGACACGGGGCTCGATCCCAGGACCCTGGAATCTTGACCTGAGCCAAAGGCAGCCACTCAACCGACTGAGCCACCCAGGTGCCCCTGGCCGTCAGATTTTAAAAGGCATTTGGGGGACACCTGCCTGACTCAGTCAGGGGAGCATGTAATTCTTAAGCTCAGGTTTGTGAGTTAGAGCCCCACTTTGTGTGGAACCTACTTTAAAAAAAAAAAAAGGCATCTGGGATATAGCAACTTAAAAAATGAAGCACCTTATTTAAACATCTTTTGTTAACTGTCATCTGTCAATGTTTTAAAAAGCTAGCTATTACTAGTTTGTTTTTGAGCTTGTCCTCATAAATTTGCCACACTCATTTTTTTGTTTGTTTTTCAAGTAGTCTCCACACCAAGCATGAAGCCCAACTCAGGGTTTGAACTTACAACCCTGAGATCAAGACCTGAGCTGAGATCAAGAGTCTGATGCTTTGGGGGCATCTGAGTGGCTCAGTCAGTTAGGTGTCTGCCTTCGGCTCAGGTCATGATCCCAGGGTCCTGGGGTTGAGCCCCGCATCAGACTCCCTGCTCAGTGAAGAGCTGCTTCTCCCTCTCCTGCTACCCCTGCTTATACCCACTCCCTCTCTGTCAAATAAATAAATAAAATCTTTAAAAAAAAGTTGGATGCTTAACTGACTGAGCCACCCACGTGCCCCATATCACACTCATTGTTAAATCATTGATATATAGAGAAACACCTTCAAAGTAGGAATAAGAAAATGTGAAATTTTAATGGGAGGGAGAAAATACATTACATCCGTAATCTGTCCTCTGCAGCCTAGTTAAGCAGGCAGTATAATTTTACTTCAAGCTAAGCCAGACACCTAAATTCAAGTTGGGCCAACAGTGTCAAAACAGGCACATCTCTACCCAGATACTGAATGGTGGATAAAGAAAGTGAACATTGTATTTCTCTTCGGGTTAACTTTCAGGATATGGATCTGGACCGCCAGTCTCTAAGCAGCATAGATAAGAACGCCTCTGAGAGAGGCCAGAGCCAACTCTCTAACCCGACCGATGACAGCTGGAAAGGTAGACCTTATGCAAGTAAGGCCACATTTTCTAGTTGTTTTCATCTATTTATTTTAAATAGATACCATGTTTACATAATTCAAATATTCAGAAGGTACAAAAGGGTGAACATGATAAGCCTTTCTTCCACCCCATGCCTTAGTCTGCCAGTCCCTGCCAGCCAGTGTCACCAGTTTCTTATGTGCATTTCTAATTGTATCCATATGCAAGAAATAGCATAGCCATAAACACATGCATATGTACACACACACACACACACACACACACACACACACACACAAAGCCTCCTGTCCTTTTTATACAAATTACAGAGTACTGTGTGTTATTGTTTTTTCATTTAGTGTATTTTTGAGACCATTCAAAATCATTACCTAAAAAGCTTTCACATTCTTTTATACCATTTATTGTATGTCATCCCAGGGTATAGATTATTATGTGCTTAATTGGGTTCCTACTAACGGACGTTTATATTATTCCCCATCTTTTCTGTTACAAACAGTACTACCCTGAATCACCTAATATGTGTGTCTGTATAATAAATTCCTAGCAGTAGGACTGTTAGGTGAGGTGCACTTGTCATTTTGACACATATTACAGATTCTTGCCCATTAAGGTTGTACCTTTTACATGAGCCTCAGGAACACGTAGGTGATGTTTCCTATCTTCAGAGTAATTTTAATTTGTGGTTTTCTAATTTTAAGGGAAACTGAGCAGTTTTTCATGTGTTTAAGAACATCTCTGTTTTTGCGTCATCTGTTCAAACTGGTCCTCATTTTGTATTGGCTGTTCATCTTTTTATTGGTTTGGGGGAGCTTTTTATGTGTTAGAGATCCCTTTTCTGGACATGAGTTTCAGATTACTTTTATCAGTTTGCCTCTTGTGGCAAAGAGGTTGTGTTTTACTGTGGTTATGTTTTACTGTTTACTGTGTTTACTGTTGTTTTTAAAAAAATGCATTTAACAGTTGCTGTGAGGCAGGCACTGCACTGTGTGTTTCATGTGTGTGACCTCGTGTAATCGTCCCTCAAGCCCTTTGAGGAGGTGCTGTTGTTTACGTTTGTGTGATCTGGGACTGAGATAGATAACACGACTTGCCCCTGTGGAGTAGGGTTGAGACTCAGACACACTTCTAGCTGACTGAGAAACTGGAACACTCCTGGTTTCGTGGTCTGGTCTTTTTCTAGCTGTGGCCCTGTTGCTTTTCTTCAGAGCAGTCCCACCCTCTTCTCCTCGTGCCAGGCCATCGGTGTTGATGCCGCTGTTAACTTCTGAAGCAGTGTATTAGACACAGCCGAGCGTGGTCCCCAAGCAACATAACCAACCTTGGAATCCATTAAAAAGACAGCATGTCGGACACTCGCACACTGTTCCTCAGTATCTGCCGCGGGGGCCAGGGAGCAAGTCTTCTGCCTCAGCAGCTCCAGAGAAAGGCTTGGCTTGTGTGTGGGTGTGGGGGGCGGTGCACGCATACAGCTCTTGAAGTAGAGCCACTCTTGGTGCAGCAAGAGGTCTGTACTCTGAGGGGAAGCTGGGACTTGAGAGCCCTGCCCTTTCTCCTGGGAACATGCTTACTTTCTCCCAACCGAGCCCGCCGTGTGGGTGTCAGTACAGTGAGTGGGGCGGCAGGCACAGTCTCACACCACTTGGACTGTTTGTTTCCTTTTCATTTTTGGTCCAAGGTGACGTCACTGAATTGGCATAAATTAAATGTACATGTGCTGCAACTCCACCATGTTCTTCTTTAATTAAAACGGATTCTGCTGGAGAATTAGTATAAATAAACACACACAGTTTAAGAGATGAGATGACCTCATCTCATCCTCATTTGCCATCACTGAACGCTTTAATATTTTCAACATTCTGATTCTATAACAATAAGTTGAGTAAGGAATCTCTACTTTTATTATATCCAATCAACACCAGTGAAGTGCCTGACATGGGCCGCCCCTGAGCCCAGGGAGTGGGAAGACAAAGATGGAGGGAGGAAATATTAGCCAGCGTCTAGTCAGTAGACAGAAACCACACCAATAATTTGAACAGAGAAGATACTACCTAAAGAATTATTAGCTAGTCAAAGATGGCCAAGCACTAGAAGAGGTAAAGGGGGACTCTTGAGGGAAACCGAAGCAGATACAGAAAGAGGATACCACCTCCAGAGCAGACAGAAAGCCATAGGGAACTAAGAGCAGAAAAGAGCCCCGCCCCTGCCCCTCAGACTGACTGGCAGCCACTTTGGAGAGTCCGGCCGCTGCAGGAACCTGGGGCCTGGGGTGCTTAGGGCACTGTCCGGAGCTGTCTGTAGGAGGCAGGTGGCAGAGCAGCTGGTTGGAAGATGGGGTCCCTGTGTAGCTGACACCTCCCCTCAGGTCTTTGCTCAGGCATCTCATTGGCAGGGAGCCCTTTCCTGACCAGCTCGTCTAAACTCGCAACCCCACCCCGATACCACCTCTCCCTCCTCCCCATTCTTACCTTTGTCGTCGTCATTTGACTTACTGTACCTTAGACTTAAAGATCCTGTTTATTGTCTCTCTGCGCTGGGGTTTTGTCTGGCTTCTCCACTGTTCTGCCACAGCCTCAAGAGCCATGCCTGCCTGACACATCGGGGAATACTTATCCAACACTGGCTGAATCATTATTAGGGTTAATCTTTATCATCTAATATAGATCAGAAACTGTTTGCCAGCCTCCTCATCAAGTGTGTGGTCCAGCTGGAATTGATACAGACCATCGATAACATTGTGTTCTACCCTGCAACAAGCAAGAAGGAAGATGCAGAGCACATGGTTGCTGCCCAGGTAAGAAGACCAGCTTTGAGCGGGACGTCCTCGTGTGTGGGGAGGTTGCTCAGGTGCGGCGGTGTGCTGGGGCCAGCTTGTTGTGGCTCACAGGAGCCCATCATGCTCGCCTCTCCCCAGTCCTGCCTTCAGTCATGCCCTGTTGGTGGCTTGAGAAATTGGTTGCGATGGGAATATTTATACCATGGCAGTCAGCAAACACTAAAAATCAGAGCTTTTTTTTTTTCTTTAAATTTCCCAGAAAGTCAGTTCACTAGCATCCCCTAGTCACATGCCATCCTCCCCACCTTGGTGCTTTGAAAAAAGAGTGTTATTCATCAGGGGGACTCTTCCTCATAACTGGCATACAGTTTAACCATAAATGAGAGAGAAAAATGTATGGATAAAGATACCAGTTTTCATTTAAAGTTTACTTTTTTGTTGTGTATGTACAGCCTTTTATATAATATGTTATCCTCGGAGACAGAGGATTGGGTAGTTGGACAGGAACATTACACCATAGGTTGTGGAGGTCAGTGCTCCAGGGGCTAGCAGATCTGTGAATGAATGTTCAGAGTTTTGGTATATTTAGAGTTGTGCAAACATCACCCCTGTTTAATTCCAGAATATTTTTATCACTGCTGAAGGGAATGCCCTAACCATAAGCAGTCACTGTCCCTTCCCTCCTCAGCCCAGTCCTTGAGAACCACTAATTTCCTTTCTGTCTCTATGGATTTGCCTAATCTGGATATATGTTCTATTACTGGAATCATGTCAAATGCGAGCTTTTGTGTCGGGCTTCTTTCACTTAGCGTAATGTTTTCCAAGTTCATCCATGTCGCAGTCTGGACCTGTAGCATGTTAACATCCATGTTACTCCATAAGTGTGTCTGTGTGTTCATATATAAAATAATATTCCATTGTATGGTACCACATTTTGTTCATGCAGTCATCGTTGACAGACGGATGTTCCCATGTCCAGCTATGATGAATAACACTGCTGTGAACGTTTGTATACAAGTTTTTATGTGGACATGTTTTTAATTCTCTTGAGCATGGGGGCGCCTGGGTGGCTCAGTGGGTTAGGCCTCTGCCTTCGGCTTGGGTCATGATCCTAGGGTCCTGGGATGGAGCCCCACATTGGGCTCTCTGCTCAGGAGGGAGCCTGCTCTCCCCACCCTGCCTGCCTCTCTGCCTACTTGTGATCTCTCTCTCTGGCAAATAAATAAATAAAATCTTTTTTTTTTTTTTAAGATTTTATTTATTTATCAGATAGAGATCACAGGTAGGCAGAGAGGCAGGCAGAGACAGGTGGGGGAGGAAGCAGGCTCCCTGCTGAGCAGAGAGCCGGATGCGGGGCTCGATCCCAAGACGCTGGGATCATGACCTGAGCTGAAGGCAGAGGCTTTAACCCACTGAGCCACCCAGGCGCCCCAATAAATAAAATCTTTAAAAAAAAAAAATTCTCTTGAGCATGTACCTAAGAGTAGAATTGCTGGGTCATACGTTAACTCTGTGCCTGTCTTTTCGAGGAATTGCCAGACTGTCTTCTAGAACAGCTATCCTGTTTTACCTTCCCAGCTGCAATGGATAAAGGCTCTAGGTTCTCCACATCCTCATCAATGGTGGTTTTTTTTTTTTTTTTTTTTTTGGTGGTTTTTGTTTTTGTTTTTGTTTTTTTTTTAATTCTCACAGTCATCTCTGTGGGTGGGAAGTGGTATCTCACTGTGGTGTTGGTTTCCATTTCCCTAGTGACTAGTGACACTGAGTATCTTCTGTGTTTACTGGCCATTTGTGTATCTTTGGAGAGATGTCAGTTCAAATCTTTTGCTCATTTCTAAATTGGATATTTTAACTTACTAACATTGAATCTGTGCATTATCTTTCCAGTTACTTGATGGTGGCCTGTGAAGCACAAAAATTTTTAATTTAATGAAGTCTGAGTTTCCGTTTTTTCTTGAATCCTTGTAATCTTAGTGTTCTATCTAAGCAAGCATGGCCTAATTCAGGGTAACAAGGATTAATCCTATGTTTTCTTTGAAGAGTTTTATAATTGTAGCTTTTACATGTTGGTCTTTGATCCATTTTTTAGTTTATGTTTGTTTTGCTCAGATCATTGACCTTTATTCTTTTGCCTATGGCTATCAAGTTGTCCCAGCACTGTTTATCGTAAAGACTGTTTTTCCCCAGTGAATTGTTCTGGTACCCAGGTGGGAAATCACTTGACCCTAAATATAAGGATTTATCTCTGGGCTTTCAGTTCTGTTCCACTGACCTATATGCCCATCTTTATGCCAGTACCACAGTGTCTTGAATTGGAAGTTTGAGTCTTTTAACTTTGTGCTTCTTTTATCAACATCGTTTTGACTATTCTGTGTCACATGTGTTTCCATATGAATTTTAGGACCCAGCTTGTCAATTTCTGCAAAGTAGCAATGTGGGATTTTAATAAGAATTGCACTGGATTTATAGATCAATTTGGGGAATACTACAAACTCTACTTTTTTTGTAATCTGTGGCTTATAAGAAGGATAGATCCATCCCTAAAAGGCTCAACAAATATAAAATCCCTAAGTATGTCTCCCATTTTAGGTGACATATTCAATAAAAATTTCTAGCATTTTATGCCTATTTTTATATTTTTTCCCCTTCACATTTGAAAAACACAGTTTTCGAGCTTGCTACGTTCATTAATCATCTGGTAAAGCTGAAGATCCCACTCAGGCTTTGCCTAGCCGTTTCCGTCTTTCATAGTGTGTTGTGAGACTCACACCTTCTAGCACATACAATACAGTTTGACTTTCTCGTTTTCTGATTTCATTCTAAAATGTAAAAGAGAGGACAGTGCAGTCTGTGGTGAAATAGCTGGAGAAGCACATACTCACGTTCACGCAGCAAAGGCAGTACTGACAGAACACAAACTTGGGCCCGCAGAGCCTGACGTCAGGCAGGAGCTGGGCGTAGTTCTTCCCCCGGCCGGTGAGCAGGACCTAACAGAGAAATGTTCAGGGTGGTGAGGAATGAGGTGTGTGATTCTCAGACAGAGGACGACTTCCGGCGAGTGAGGGCTGCCTCGATGTCCAGAGCCAGCCCGTCCTCACTTAGCTCTCCTGCCCTCCCATTCTAGCAAGACACACTGGATGCAGAGATCCACATAGAAACAGAGGATCAGGGCATGTACAAGTGCATGTCTTCCCAGCACCTCTTCAAGCTGCTGGACTGCCTGCAGGAGTCCCACTCATTCTCAAAGGCCTTCAACTCCAATTATGAGCAACGCACTGTCCTGTGGAGAGCAGGTAAGGCCACACAGCAGCTAGGAGAGGTGGGTGCACTGGTTATTAAAACCTTTGGGAAACTCCTCTGATACTGTACACTTAGCTGGAATAACTTGCCAGATATTTCATGCTTGAGGGGAAAAGGAGGACATGCTGGATACTTTCCATCCCAGGACAGGAATACTACCGCCTGGCACATGGGAGATTTTCAGGAAGTATTTGCTGGAAAAATGAATTGATAGATAGAGACTAAATGGATCTAGCAAACCAAGACTTTTTACATTAGGTTAAAATTATGTATCCGGGGCGCCTGGGTGGCTCAGTTGGTTAGCATCTGCCTTCGGCTCAGGTCATGATCCTAGGGTCCTGGGATTGAGCCCCGCGTCGGGCTCCTGCTTGGCGGGGAGCCTGCTCCTCCTCCGCGACTGTGTTCTCTCTCTCTCTTGCTCTCTCTCTCTCTCTAATAAATAAATAAATAAATAAAAATCTTTTAAAAGTAATAAAATAAAATTCTGTAGTTAAATGTGATATTAAAAACTCTGGTCGTCTTGGAGAAACGGAGAGTAGTCCTACATTTGCTGAGGCTTTTAGGGGGTTCTCTCTCTTGGCCACCTCCAAAAATACATACATAAACCCTGGAGGTAAGCAATATATGTAAGGTGACAGTGGGAGTCTCATGTTGTAAAACTTTACACAAAAGTGATACTTTCTATAACTTTTGTTACCATTACTGGATGACCACTGATTTTCTTCCCAAATGCCTATTTTAATCCACAATTTTATAATGTCATTTTTCTTTATGGCTTTAACATGTCTAGATGATTTATGCCTTTGCCTGCGATAAGGCTTTGCTTGTGATATTGGTTCACACATCTCTGTGGCTGATTCGTACTGCTTTGTTTAAGGAGATGTGATTAAGAGTAACGTTATATGTCACACTTCAGTTGAAAAAGAAGAATGTGGAATATTTCTTTCGGTGTTCCCTAAAGTAACTAGGTAATGCATGATTTCTCAGCATTATCCTAGAAGTGTACACTGTTTACATAACTGTCTAATCTCTAGGTTTTAAGGGCAAATCTAAACCTAATCTTCTAAAGCAAGAAACCAGTAGCCTGGCCTGTTGTCTGAGGATCCTGTTTCGGATGTATGTTGATGAGAACCGCAGGGATTCCTGGGAGGAAATACAGCAGCGACTTTTAACGTAAGAAGACTGTTTTCTGATTAAATGTCTTATCCATAAGACTCAAAATGCATCACAAGGATACTCTGAATTGAAAAGAATAAGAGAAAAATACCTATGTGGTAGCCCCCTCACAATCTACTTTCCTTTTTGATTCTTCCTTCGATTTGCTGGCACTTGTGTTTCACTTTTCTTAATGCCCTGAATAGGGCGGGACCTCATTTCTTTCGTAAGTTTCTTAAGGCTCAGAAACAGACAGTAAGAAATGCTTAGAGCTCAGAATCAGCGAGCACCTGGGCGGCTCAGTTGGTTAAGCGTCTGCCTTCGGCTCAGGTCGTGATCTCAGAGTCCTGGGATCCAGCCCCGCATCCGGATCCCCACTCAGCAGGGAGTCTGCTTCCCCCTCTCCCTCTGTGCAGCCCAGCTTTTCTGCTCCCCCACTGCCCCACTCATGGTCACTCTCTCACTCTCAAATAAATAAAATCTTTAAAAAAAAAAAAAAATCAGCAGGCCTGGAGTGAAGTCCCTTTAGGGCAATGTCGGCTCTAGTCTCCTACCCTCCCTTCTTCCCAAGAGAAATGTATTGGAATCCCGTGGATTATCAGGCTGTCCTGACTTGGATTACGCAGAAATGCAGCGATGAGGAGACAGTGGGGTGGCATGGAGAGAGCCCCAGACAGAAAAGTAGATCTTCGCCACCCAGCTTCCTATGAGCCAGATGCTATGTTTAAGCCCTTTACACTCTTGTAAGATTTAAAACCATTAACATGCAGTGCTGACAGCCATGTGATAAGACATACACTCTCCTGGCTCCTAATGCTAGTGGGAATGTCCAGGGAGGGAATTTTTCCAGAAAGCAGGTGGCATTAAAATCAGGAGCCTTAAAATGTTCAGTCTCTCTCTTTGACGCAGTAATCCCACTGTTATGGAATCTATTTAAAATGTCTTAGAGGGGGGCGCCTGGGTGGCTCAGTGGGTTAATGCCTCTGCCTTCAGCTCAGGTCATGATCCCGGGGTGCTGGGATCAAGCCCCGCATCGGGCTCTCTGCTCAGCGGGGAGCCTGCTTCCTCCCTCTCTCTGCCTGCCTCTCTGCCTACTTGTGATCTCTGTCTGTCAAATAAATAAATAAAATCTTAAAAAAAAAAAAAAATGTCTTAGAGGGCACCTGGGTGGCTCAGTCGGTTAAGCTTCTGCCTTCAGCTCAGGTTGTGATCCCAGGGTCCTGGGATCGAGCCCTGCATCGGGCTCACTGTTCAGTGAGGAGTCTGCTTCTTCCTCTCCCCCTCCCCCGGCTTGTGTTCCCTCTCTCACTGTGTCTCTGTCAAGTAAATAAATAAAATCTTTAAAAAAAGAAAGAAAAGAAAATGTCTTAGAGGGGCACCAGTGTGGCTTTGTTGGTGGAGGTTGCAACTTTCGATCTCAGGGTGGTGAGTTTCAGCCCCACATTGGTGGTGGTGATTACTTTAAAAGAAAAAGTAGCAGCAACTGTATGTGACAGGAGGAGATTGAGAAAGGCAGTGTGTGGTCAACTGTGGATGATTGGCTCTGTGCTCATTGTGTGCAAACGCTGATTGGGCCCTAAGCTGTGAGCAGGTCCTGGGCCCAGCAGACATCAACAGGCAGGCTTCATTCCAACTACACAGCAACCCCCTGAGTTTGGTATAGTCATCTCTCCCTGTTTTACAGCAGAGGAAACTGAGGCTTAGTGATTTGCTCTGGGTGGCATGGCCAGAGCAGGTGCCCAGTACTTATTTACTTACTTACTTGTTGCAAGAACAGAGTTCTCCCCTCCAGGGGCACCTGGGTGGCGCAGTGGGTTAAAGCCTCTGCCTTCGGCTCGGGTCATGATCCCAGGGTCCTGGGATCGAGCCCCACATCGGGCTCTCTGCTCGGCGGGGAGCCTGCTTCCCCCTCTCTCTGCCTGCCTCTCTGCCTACTTGTGATCTCTGTCAAATAAATAAATAAATAATATTTTTAAAAAAAAGTTCTCCCCTCCAGTAGAATGTGAGCTGTCAGTGTGGTTGACGTGTCTCCCCCTCTCTTGTTCTCCAGCGTGTGCAGTGAGGCCCTTGCCTACTTCATCACCGTGAATTCCGAGAGCCATCGGGAGGCCTGGACAAGTCTTCTCTTGTTACTTCTCACAAAAACCCTCAAAATAAACGATGAAAAGGTAAACACCAGGAAACTCTAATGTCCCCACTAGGACCTAGGTTTGGGTTCCTTTTTACTCAGAATTTAAAGTAATGATTTCCTTACTTCCATAACTAGCACCATTCTAGATTCGTCAGAGGAAAGTTCGTTCATTACAAAGAGTGCCGTATCACGCTGGGGCTCTCTCTCTCACAGATCCCCAGTGGAGAAAGGCTGATGTTGAAACCATGCACACAGCAGTTGAATCGCAGGGATTTTGACTGTGGCTGTGTTGGAAGAGAGGGTCCAGATGGCAAAGCCGTGGTCCAGAAGGGGGGATCTGCTCTGCTGAACCGAACGTTGACTTTGGTAGCAAAGCTGTCCCCAAAGAATTTGTGTTTGGAGTTAGACATAACTAAAAGACATTCTAACTTGCAGATTTTTCCCACCAACTTTTTAAGTAGCAAGAATAAAACATCAATATTGCAGGAGGTTCCAGGGCGAGATGAATACTTTTGAGAAACTAGTGCCTGAAAAAGGAGCTCCTTGTCTAATTTGATCCTTCTCCTTCTCTCCCACTTCAAGTTTAAAGCACACGCTTCTATGTACTACCCCTACTTGTGTGAAATTATGCAGTTTGACCTGATTCCTGAGCTCCGAGCAGTTCTGCGCAAGTTCTTCCTGCGGATAGGTGTTGTCTATAAGATATGGATTCCGGAAGAGCCATCCCAGGTACCAGGGACACTGTCCCCAGTGTGGTAGCCCCGGTCGCTGCAGGCCACTGCTGCAGCTCTGCAGATCGCTCATGCCACCTCTGCCCGGCACAGCCCGTGGAGGGGCAGATCGTAGAAACGGAGTCGGCATCTGGGAGCTCAGAATGGCCTGGAGGAAGTTGGCCTCAACGCGGGTCCCATCAGTCCCTGGCTGAGACGTGCTGTTCCATTAAAGTGTTGCATACCCAGTTACCACAGTAGGTGGGGAGTCCGTTTCATCTCCGTCATTCCATCTTCCTGGCTAGACTGTCAAGCCTGTCGCCGCACACGCACCATTTCCTAGCAGAGTCCCGTGATCGGCTGTACGTGTTCTGTCGGAGGAGGTTGCTCTCCTTGAAAATACTGAACATAGCTGTAGAGGTTCATGATTATTAGAGAGTATGTTAATAAAATTTCTTGTAACGGCTAAACGCCACCTAAAATATGCTGGATTTTTTGTCGTCGTTTGAGTGTGTTGGAGAATTTTGAATGTTTTTGTCAGTTGTGAGTCAGCTGTAGTTAGATTAGTTTGGAGAAAGTGGGGGAGAAGGGTTGTTTTTGTTTTGTTAACGTCTGAGTGATTTTTAAAGTACTTTATGAAAAGCTATTATTGAAGATTTCACTGAAAGCAGAGTTTAGTAATTAAGTTAGAATTAAGAGCTTGCAAGGTTAAAAGATTTAAAAAGGTAGTGCCTCCTGGCCCTCCCTGTTTTTGTAACCTGGGGAGAAAAAGTCTATAGGAAAAAGTAAAAAATGTAATGAAGACGATTAGCCTTCCTTGGAAGTAAGTATTTGTGGATGGGTATGAAAATTTCCAAAATAGATTGTCCATCTCACACCCTCTGATCTAATATATGAAGTGGTAACAAAAATGAAGTAATTTAACAGTTAATTTATATTTGAGTAAACCTTTTATTTTTACCTCAGAATAGTGAGTTCAGTGTCCCTGCTTTTGCACAGTCCCCATTCAGGGGTGTTCAGAGAGGGATGGCGGCTGTGTGGGAGAAGGGCCACCTGCGAAACTCCCCAGCCACGTGTCATGAGTCCTTGACCCCGAGTCAGCCTGTGCTGTGGTGGGGCCAGCTCAGCTGAACCGTGACCGTGGCGGGAGATGGCCTGTGCCCAGGTGCCAGAATTCGAGCCTCGGAACTGCATTCTTTGGAAGGGTTGGCTTCTGGGGGCCCTTATTGTGTTAACAAAGGTGCAGTAGTCTTAACTGGAGTTAGGACTGAATCCTGATGCAGCAGCTTCTGTAAAAGATTGTGGCAAATGGGGGCCTGACGCCTGCAGGCGGTCTGGTCTGGTCGGAAGGTGGATTTACTCTGGGTCGTTGAGGAAGAGCGCATGCACTTGACCCCGCCCCCTCACCCAGGGCTCCCCAGAGCCGCGCTCCCCGTGGAAGCAGTGTTACAGAGTCATAACACACCCAGACTCCGCCTGTGCCCTTCAGTCCTGGAAACTGGGTTGTATTGATGTCAACTCTGGTGCCTTAGAAGTTAGCAAGTTGGGAACCTATCTAAAATCGGATTATTTTTTTCTTCATAGAGAAGGATTTCTGGTGCTTTTGTTTCCTAAGAAACTGAGTTCTTAAATTTGTTTGTTTTACAGCCTTGAGGAATGTTTGGTTTGGGCCGGCAGTACTCTTCCCCGCCCCCCCAAAGTGTTTTAATTTCTCTACCAAAGAAAAAAAAGAGCAGGTTTAGGTTTTTATGTTACATACATTAGAGAAGAGGAGCTGTATAATTTGGGAGGAAAGGACCGTGGGAGAATTTTACTGTGAATGGAAAACGTCAGCACCTTTGACTTACCTTGTCCTGGAGTGCGTTACGTCCTTATGCTGCAGCCAAGACTCCTTCCCTGGTACTGTGGTCGGTCACAGCCTCTATACATCCGTGCTCTCCATCCACATCTGTCCTGATGGCATGCACAGGAACGTGCCACTGTGTCCCCACCTGGAGACTTTTGCTTTCCTTCTGAGGTTCTCATGTGCCGTTGTCTTCAACGGTGACCCCGCTGCCGGAGTCTTCCTGCCTTCTCTTTCATTCTTGCCACCTCTTGCAGAGCGGGAAGTGTGTGAGCTCATTTTGTTCCATGCCCAAACATTCAGCTTTGAATTTTTTTTTTTTAACTCTGTCTTTTAATACATTGGATTTTCTGAATGAGGCATTTGAATCATACCAGCATGGAACCTTTTAAAAACCGGGATGTCAAACCATTTGGGGGTAATTTTTCTTGCCAGTGGCCCATGAAGTACAGAGGAATTCCTTACCTCTACTAATAAGCCATTCAGCCTAAATTCTACTTTGTGAAGAAATCTGTTCTATCTCATGGTAAATGTGGCTTGTGCCACTGAAACACTAGTGAGGAGAGTGTGTGTGACGGCAGCCCCGGGCCAGGACACCATTCACTAGCAAAGTTAGAGAAGATAGAGCATTTCCAAGGCCTTATTTCTTTGTCAGGATGCTTTAAGTGTTGATTATATGTGCTGGGTCTCTAGAGAAGTTTTTGTTACAACACTGCTACTTTGAGCAATTTTGTTTTTCTGCGCTGTCTTTTCGGGAAATCACCAGCTCTGGCATCTTAACAACAAACGTGGATGGGAAATGTGATTGCCAATATGCATCTTTAGAGACAAATACACCTTTTTCCTGTTACTCCTCACGTACAACCAAAGAACTACATTATGGAAATTGTATCATAATATCTGGAAACAAACCATTTTCCTCTGACAGGTGACTTTTGTACAAAATGGAAAAAAAAAAAAAACAACAAAAAAAAACCCACAAAAAAACCCTAGACCTTTTTGTTGTTCTTTTGCGATTAAGGCTCTCCATTTCATAGTCTTTATAGTTACTGAAGGAACCTGCTAACGGAGGCAAGTAGACTGTCCCATTCAGATGTTTGTTGTTATGATGCAAATGGATATGGGTTGAGACAGAAGCTAGATCCTTACTACTGCATTCTCTGAGTTCTGTTTTAACATTTGTGTTAAAGTAGACGTAGCTTGAACTCATGTGAAATCCTGGAGTTTTGCTATCAGCAGCTTTGCAGTTGGAGAAACAAAGAAACCAAAGCTGAATATTTAAAAGAATGAGTCTATCTGGAAATCCTTGCTCTCAAAAAAAAAAAAGACATTCATCAAAGGTGTAGTTTTTCTCAGTGTTCTAATTTTTTAAAAATTTTATCTTCATATTTGCATCAAATATTTCTTTATGTGCAAAATGTATGTTTTACCTCCTTAAAATGCCTAAAAGTTAGTTAATAGCTACTTTTGTTTAATCTATACACGATGATTAAGTGCATTTAATATTGGTAATTTAATGAAAAGCATTCCTTGCCCAATGGATGTATACATTTTTGAAAGAATAAGCCGAATTATATAATATGAAATGCTATGTAAAGTTTTCTATGTAAAAATATTATGTATAATACTGTTAAAATCCCATGCTTTAATCAGGTGGTAAATCAATAAAGTTTTAAAAGGAAAGCTGTCTTTAATATAATAATTTATATATGTATATATATGTATATATATCTCAACCTGTAGTTTTGGGTACATTTGTTCTTGTGGCAGCTATAAGCTTGTAATTCTCAATTGGTAGTAAAATTTGGCCTCAATACTTAACGAAAATAATTTCTAATGGGAGAATATTAATTGTGGGGTTTAATTACTTTAAGTAAGGTTCATTTCTCCCCCAGTCATGAGAAGATTCTTATTAATCTCTTGAATTCACTTTAACTCATTAGTTTGACCAGTGGTGAGTTCCCAAAAGAAGACAAAAATCTCCTCTTGCTGGCGTTGAGGGCAGGTTTGCAAAGGAAGACTGACAAGGTAGCCACCTTGGATACTGAGTGGAAGGCAATTCTAAGGTTCACAAAGGGTGCCACTTGGCTTTACTGCCTCTGAATTCAGAATCCATTCTTTCTGAAATACCCTAAAATTGTAAATCACCATTGTACTTATAATACTCCCCCTGCTGAAATGAACTAATAACTTTTCTTATTAATTTGTTAGAACGATGACTCTCTGTGGTCCTGCATATCAGGTCCTTCCAGTGAAGAACAAAAAGAAAAGGTTTCTTTTTTTTTTTTTTTTTTTAAAGATTTTATTTATTTATTTGACAGACAGAAATCACAAGTAGGCAGAGAGGCAGGCAGAGAGAGAAGGGGAAGCAGGCTCCCCGCCGAGCAGAGAGCCCGATGCGGGACTCGATCCCAGGACCCCGAGATCATGACCTGAGCCGAAGGCAGAGGCTTAACCCACTGAGCCACCCAGGCGTCCCAAGAAAAGGTTTCTAAAGAGTCTTTATCTCACCATAGCAGGTAGTGCCTGGGTTTTATCTAGAGCAGTCATTTTCAACCTGCTGCCACCAGAAATTTTCATTTCTGTTCCCAGGGGGCACTTGGGACACTTGGCAATGTCTGGAGACATTTTGGGTTGTCACAGCAGGTGGTGGGCGGGTGGGCAGGATGCTGGTAAACAGCCTCCACCAGGAGGAATTACCCAGCCTCAAGTTCTGATTGGTGCTGAGGTTGAAAAACCCCTGAACTAATCTGACTCTGAATCTAAAAAGGCTTCTTTGGTGTTACAGGACCCAGGAGTGAGTCTGTGGCAGATACAGTCAGCTTTCTTTGGCCTTCCTGTTTTTAAAAAAAAAGTCACTTCTGCTTACCCATTTTAGAAAGGAGGGCATGCTGAGGTCACTGGTTGAGGAAGGACCAACTCCACGTAATTTACTTAAAGTGCTATTATTTAAGCATTTTGCAAGGTAATTTCATCATGATGCTTGGAGCGGTACCCTCCCTGCCCACAGACTGGAACACGTTTTAGACAAAAGTACATTTCCTTTTTCAAAGGGAGTAGTTCCCCAGAATTTTTGCAAAGCCGTGTAACATGCCTGTTGCCCAGTTCAAGAAACCTGCCAAATCTTCCTTGAGTTAGTTATCTGTGTCACATCTTGGGAGTGGCAGCTTAGTAAATGCCACGACATACCCACAGCAGAAGAAGGGTTGAGGACTCCGCGAGGATTCTGGCAGAAATGACTTTAATATTTTTAAACATGTCTGTTTCCAGACACAAGCCAGCTTTATCTAGTGCTCAACTGAAGATTGAGCCTTTGCAGATAATTTTTATATAAGGCAGTTTTCATCTTTCCCAGAGACTCCCCATCGTTGCATAAAGCTGCTATAGCTCCTTCACCGACCTAATTTAGATTTGCTTGAAGAATGTATCTTGATTTGTGTTCAAGAAGCACCATGTGTTCTGGCAAACTTTTTAGCTTGAGTGAATTTGAGCTTAAATGATAGCATATTGATTTTCTTGTCCAGAGTGCTATGGGTTTCTGAGAAGCAAGCAAAAACCAGGCACCATTCTATATGAGAGGCCAGTGGGACAGCCCACGGAAGCTGGAATAAAGAACTATGTACAGAAGGATTTGTGCTCTCTGCCCCTTTGGGGGGCATCAGCAATAAGCAAGCTATTAATGTCACTTTTTTAAAGAACTAACATTACTGATCGTTTACTGCACTGCAGACACCATAGTGAGTGCTTTGCATACAGGAAGTCCTGTATGTCCATATAGCAACTGTATGAAATAGATAGCATTAGACCTCCATTTTTTAAGTGTATTTATTTATTTATTCATTTTCTTAATCTCTACACCCAATACAGGCTCAGACTTATGACCCCGAGATCAAGTCGCACATTCCACCAACTGAGCCACCCAGCTCCCCAAGTGTCCGACTCTTGATTTCAGCTCAGGTTGTGATCTCCAGGTCATGAAATTGAGCCCCACATCAGGCTCCACGCTCAGCCGTGGAGTCAGCTTGGGATTCTCTCTCCCTCTCCCTTTGCCCCTCCTTTTCCTGGTACCTCTAAAATAAATAAATATGGGGGCCTGGGTGGCTCAGTCGGTTAAGGGTCTGCCTTTGGCTGAGGTTAGAATCCAGCATCCCAGGATCGAATCCCACATCGGGTTCCCTGCTTAGCAGGGAGTCCACTTCTCCCTCTTCCTCTGCCCCTCTCCCTGCTCTCTCTCGCTCTCTCTCAAATAGATTAATAAAATCTTTTTTAAAAACCAAATCATTAAAATAAATACATAAATAAAAGTTATATGTCAAAATAGTAAATATTTGAAAACACATTCCATCCTCCTTCCTTGACAAAACCTTTGCAACACTGGAAATCAAACACTGAATTCTCAAGCTCTTCAGAGTTCCAGGCCAGAACCCAGCAGTACGGGAAGAAATCAGCCCTTGTCCTGCCCCCTTTCTCTTCCCACCCCGAGCCTCAACCTGTACCACAAGGCTCTGAATGTGTGTGTGTGGATATGCAGCTCTGTCTGATCCCCGTGCAAACACATCTGTCCCCAAGTCATACAGCCAGTGGAGGGGTGCTCACAGCAGCCGTGTATCTGCTCTCAGGAGTGACCCAGCCAAGAGGTTTCCACAGACCCTGCAAGAGGGTTTGGGGCTTGTCGGTGGGGAATTCCAGGGTTCTGTGCAAACCAGAACAAGGTCTGAAAGGAGGTGATAAGGGTTCTGGGTGAGCACGTGCACCCACTCGGTGCATGGACCCTTCACCTGTGGGCAGCTGGATCGGGACCAGAGCCACACCCTCTAAAGCATAGGGGCCAAGCCAAGCTCCAAAGGCCTGGCCAGGTCTACAGCTGTACCACCTGGGAAAATGCAGGACTGGGGACAATGGGAGGATGTCAAAAATATACTGCCACCCGATTTCGGGATGGAGATAAGAGCTAACACCATCAAACGGTTGACATTTTTCAGATGCTCTTCCACAGGCCTCATCTTTCCTGGCTCTGTCATCTGCCCAGGCCCCCTGAGAAGCAAATTACTATTGCTTACACTCCTGTAGAGATCAGAGAGCTCAACTATAAGTAACTTGCCCAGTGTCCTACAGATGTCATGAAGGTTTAACCTAGGTAGTCAAGTCCATGCTTTTTTTTTTTTTTTAAGATTGTATTTATTTGACGGAGAGAGAAAGAGCACAAGCACAAGGAACAGCAGGCAGAGGGAGAGGGAGAATCAGGCTTCCCGATGAGCAGGGAGCCCAATGCAGGCCTCTGTCCCAGGACCCTGGGATCATGACCTGAGCTGAAGGCAGACACACCCAGGTGCCCCCATGCTCTTAACTAGTATGCTACAACAGATCAAAGAGTGACAGTAAAGGTCTGGTAAAAAATGTGTCAGGATATGTCAATTCTATCTCAACAAAGCAGGGGGGATAAAAAGATATGCCAGGAAATTGTTAACCAAAAGAAAGCAGGTCTAACAATATTGATGTCAGACAAATAGAATTGGAAGAGGAGAGGTCTGAAAGGCCCAAAGAGGAATATTTCACAGCGTCAGATGGTAGGCAGACTTCATCGGGAAGAAACAGCATGAGCCTAATCTACCTGATAGCTTCAAAACATACAACAAGACCACTGAGTACACTTTAACCATGACAAAGCCAGAATCATGGTGAGAGACCAACATGCCTCTCAGAGAACATCTGATGAAGCAAAATTAAGTAAAAGGACATAGAGAACATAATAGATTACCTACAGTGCATGTCTTAATTAGCAAAGGACCAAATCCTCTCATGTTTGTACTGAGTGAATTTTTCACCATGTGCACATTGGCAGTTGTAGCAAACCTGGGAGTATGTGCTCATGATGTGGTGGGGAAGGGTGAGGTGATAGATATTCCCAAGGGAGCCTTCAGGTATCACCCATGGAGACTGGAGGAGGAGGACACACCAATCTTCCTGTGAACCTCACCTGCATGGTTCTTCTTCTGGTTGAAAGGGCGAGGAGAGTGGGCACCGCTAGACATGTCCACAGACATGTTAATTTTGGCACACTCAAGGGCTTCCTGGCAGAGACGGTAGACCTACACTTGAGGCCAGCCAGCTTCCTTCGCAATTAGCATTCAAAGATGGGAAACTGTTAAATCATTACGGTTGTTCTCAACAGGACTGGAGGAAGATCTTTGTCTAGGAAAGCAGATTAGTATGATCAATTACTTGTTGCTGCAATGGTAAAAATATATCTTTTCCCCCAGTGTCCTAATAACATACCTTTCTAAATAGACTTTATTCATATAGGGCATTTCATTCAACATTCAGTAAATACTTATGGAGCAAGTGCTGTGTACTAGGTGCTGGGGGCACAGCTGTAAATGAGATAAATAAGGTCCTTGTTCTAAGAGAGTCCTAATAGTCTAATAGTCTAATAGAGTTAAGCTGATGGCCGGGAGGGGGAGCAATTAACAAGGATAGTTGCAAAGTGATAAATGCTATGAAGAAACAATGATAGATTGAGGCTAAGTTTGCCAGATAAAATACAGGACACCTGAGTCAATGTGAATTTCAAATAAACGATATATGACCTTCTAGTAGTATGTCCCATGCAACATTTATACTAAAAAATCATTCATTGCTTTTCTGAGATTCACATTGAACTGGGTGTCCTGTATTTTACTTGCTAAATCTGGCAAACCTAGGTGCCTGGGTGGCTCAGTTGGTTAAGCGTCTGCCTTCGGCTCAAGTCATGATCCCAAGGTCCTGGGTTCAAGTCCTGCATCGGGCTCCCTGCTCTGCAGGGAGTCTGCTTCTCCCTCTACCCCTTTCCCCCTGCTCATGATCTCCCACTCTCTCTCTGCCAAATAAATAAAATCTTAAAAAAAAAATCTGGAATCCCTACATGTCGAGTGATTGGGTGTGGTGAGTGAGCAATTTTCAGACAAGGCCTCTCTGCGGAGGTGGCATTTGAGCAGGAATCTGGATGTACAAAGGGAGCCAGTTACTCAGGGGTCTAGAAGAGCATTCCAGGCAGAGGGAAGGGCCAGTACAAACACTCTGAGGTGGGAATAAGCTTGGAGCTTGGAAGAACAGAAAGGAAGGCCAGGCAGCTAGGTTGAGTGAGGGTGGAGAGTGGGAGGGAGGAAGGCGATGAGGTCAGAAAGGTTGGCAGGGGCCAGAACTTGCAGGGTCTGTGGACTGAAGGAAGAGATGTTGAATAATTTTACAAAAAGTTACACCCAGGGGTGCCTGGGTGGCTCAGTCGTTAAGTGTCTGCCTTTGGCTCGGGTCATGACCGTGGGGTCCTGGGATTGGGCCCTGCATTGGGCTCCCTGCTCAGTGGGGACTTTGCTCTCCCACTGATCCCCTTCCTTGCTTGTGCTCTCTCTCTCTCTCTCACTCTGTTTTAAATAAATAAATAAATAAATAAATAAAAGTTACATCCATGACCCTTTCAAACAGAGCAATTTTTGCATTTTAATCTCGGGAATTGCTCTTACATGTTCATAGCCAGGGTGCGGTAAAAGATAAAGTTGGACATCGTTAAAGAAGTAAAAACAGATTTCATTCAGATACTCAGAGTGCGAGAGTGTGAGTTGATTCCGACCGTGCAGAAGGGATTGGGTATTTTATTTTATTTATTTTTTATTTTTTATTTTTTAAAGATTTTATTTATTTGACAGACAGAGATCACAAGCAGGCAGAGAGATGGGGGGTGGGGAGCAGGCTCCCTGCTGAGCAGAGAGCCTGATGCGGGGCTTTATCCTAGGACCCTGAGATCATGACCTGAGCTGAAGGCACTGCGCCACTGCGCCACCCAGGTGCCCCTTATTTTATTTTTTTAAGATTTTATTTATTTATTTGGAGAGATAGAACATGTGAGCGGCAAAGGGAGAGAGAATCTCAAGCAGACTCCTTGAGCCGGGAGCCAGATGCAGGACTTGATTCCAGAATCCTGGGATCATGACCTGAGCTGAAGGGTGCCGCTTCAAAGACTGAGCCACGTCTAAGTAAATCATCTTAAATTGCAATATAATTATACATCAATGTATATTACATTTATTGTTCATCTTGGACTGCCCTTATCCTCTTCACATGGAAAGTAATAAAATTATAATTGTTAGAGTTAAAAAAAAAAAAAAAAAAAAGACTGAGCCACGCAGGCATCCCTGATTGGGCATTTTAAAGGAGGAGGAGGGAATTGTGGAGAGGGTGAGGGCCAAGGTGAAAATCTGAAGCGTTGGTCGGTCAGTAGGTGTAAATGTCACCCGGCCTGCTCTGTCTGCTAGCTAGCAATTATCAAAGATAGGCTCCCATCTGCCCCCAACACGAAGAAACAGGCTTCACCTTTCTGATTGTATTTCAAAGGAATGGCTTTCAGGTCATTGAGAAAGACAATCCTGAATTGAAGGAGATATATCTACATCTCAAAGGGACAGAAGGAGGATTCACAATTCTAATCCTTTTTAGTAAATGCTCTAAGAAAGGAAGTTTGGGGCCTATACTCTGGTGCAGACTAGAACAAACAGTAAATTCTCCTGGCGACATTGAGCTTTCTCAAGTAGGTGTGTGTGTGTGTGTGTGTGTGTGTGTAAGCACGCATTGGGGTGGGGGTGGGGGCCACTGGGGTCATCCTAGGATCAGGGCCTTACACTGCTAGAAGCCATGTTCAGGTTTGGTCATCTCTTACTGCAGAGGTTGGGACAGGGTCATGATGTGCTGAGTGTGCTGCAGTTCTCAGTGCCTGTATAATTCTGTGTTCTTATAATATTTGTTCCCTCGACTGATAACCAGATATACCCCTTTCAGTCCCCAGGGTAGCAAGCTAGCAGTTGGAAGGGATGGGCTCTGAAACAGCTGGGCCTGGGGCTGCTGGTGGCTGAAAGTGAGGGCTGGGATTTCCATAAGTCCTTATTGCTTCCTGTCATTGTCACCCTTTATGAATCATAAGATCCTACAGGCTCTACCTCTAGAGTATATCCTGAAGCTGTCCACTTGTCTCCCTATGCACAGCTACTCACTGGAATCCGGGGCATCGTGGCTCCACCTCTCTCTCCAGGCTCCAGGCTCTTCACCCCCACCCCCATACACTCCATCCCACACAGCAACTGGTGGGCCTTTTAAAGAGTAGGTTTGGATGCCTTGAGAGTGAGACCTAATCTAAACAGGGCTTAAGAGGCCTACATCTTGTGGCCCCTGCTGGCCTCTCTAACTTCATCTCCGGCCTCTCCGCACTTCATTAAGCCCCAGGCCAGCTCACTCCTGCCTGAGAGGGAGCCCAGGCTGTTGACAACCCCTCCTCCTGGAATGCTCTCCGGGAGGATCTTGACACAGCTGTCTCCTTGTTGAAATTCAGGTCAAGCGTCACTTGTTCAGAGGTCTTCTCTGACCAACCAATGACCTTCCAAGTCACTGCCTGTCATCTCACCGTTTTAAATTTTCTCGTAGGGTATCAAGATCTGAAATTATCAAGATCTGCCTCTTCCTCTAAAAGCGGCACTCTGCGAGGGGCAGAAAGTTCTCCTCGGTCTGAGAGGTTATGGACGTGACTTTGAGCAGTTCGTTCAATAGTTAAAGAAGACCTACTACGTGCCTCCCTGCAGCCCTACATCAGACTAGGTCGCACTCCGGAGGCCACTCGCTGAACCAGCGTCGGTTCTCAGAAAATGGGGATTGTGATGCCCCAACCCTCGGTCTGAGCCAAAGGGCATTGTCGCTTGTGACGTCAGCGCAAACACAGAGCCGGTCGCGATTGGCCATTCGAGCCTGGGTGGGGCCTGAGCGCCCCCGGCCCCGCCCCTCGTCTCTGCCCCGCTCACGCATGCGCCCGGGCCGCAGCCTCGCCGCCGCGCCATTTTGCCGGGGTTTGAATGTGAGGCGGAGCGGTAGCAGGGGTGGGTAGTGCCGGCTCCAGTCCGCAGCTGAGATTCCCTTCTCCGTACCCGTATCCCCAAGAGGTGAGACCCGGGGCGTGCATGGCCTAGCAGGGTGGCCTCTCGGGACCCCGCTGAGGGAGGGATGCCGCGCTCCTGACACTTCCGAGCGCTGGGAAGCAAAGACCGCGCCTCTGGGCGAGAGCGGAATGCGGGCCGTGCTTCGGGCGGTGCCCTTGGGCGAGGTCTTTGCCTGCGCGGACGGGTCTCGCCTAACCTCGCGGCGTCCCAGGGCTGGGGCCCAAGCCTGGCGGCCCCGGGGCCTCTGAGGGGCGAGGGCCCCCGAGGCGCGGCCTAACGCGAGCCGCCCGAGCACCCGCCCCTTCCCCCGCCAGCGCCGCGCGGATTGGCCTCACCGCCGCCGGGCCGCTCGGGAAGGCCGCCTCTCATTGGTCGCGCCCGCGCGTCCGTCCTCGTCGCTCCCGGCCACCCGCAACGTGAGCGGGGTTCCGCGGCGAGGCCTGTCCGGCCGGGCTGCGGGGCGGGAGCCGGCCGCCGTCCAGACGGTCTCTTCCCCGGTCCCCGGGACTCACGTTCTGATCGGAAGGGGGGCCTTTAATCTCCCTGTGCCTCAGTCTCCCTGACTGTAAGTGGGCGTCGTGATCTCACTTTGCTGGGTTGTTTGAGGGTTGCATTCCAGTCCATGCACCTGCCCAGGGGTGTAGGGTCCCGCCCTCCGGGGGAGACGCGAGTGTGGTAGTTCGGGGGCATGAGCTTTGGAATTCACAAGGCCTGGGTTGGTTCCAGAGTTGGCCTCCCTGGGAGTGCGGTGTAGGGCTAGTCGCTTCATCGCTCGGAGACTCCCCATTTCCTTATCCGCAAAGTGGGGTTGAAAACCATCTGCTTCGCAAAGTGGCCGTGAGGATCCACGGAGTTACTACCGTGGTTTGCAGAGTCCCACCCGAAGCCACCCGAATGACCACCCAAAGCCACTGCTGACTTTCTGTTTTCTTAAATGTTCCAAGCTCGTGCCCACCGTAGAGCGTTGGGGCGTGCCTTTCGTTTGCTCGGAAATCGTTAATATCAGAGCTTTGCAAGGCTGGGTCCCTGTCCTTTAAGTCTCGTGCCCCCTTATACCTTCTTTGGCCAAGTTCTCTGAGGACTTCTTTCAACTTTAGACGTAATGGCATTTATCTTTAAGTAGAATTACTTAGCGTTGTTCATTGTCTTTCTCAGCTGCTGGGTTGTGAACTTCAAGAGCAAGGACCTTGCCTGTCCTGTTGAGGGCTATATTCTGGTGATGAGTGCTTACCATGTGGTAGATGCACAAGTGTTGTTTCTCCTTGGAGGCAGAGAAGGGGCACTTTTTACTCTTGGATCCCACCTGTGTACTTTTCTCTTCCCCTAAGCCCCCTCCCCATAGTTGGAATTTTTTTTTTACCTGTGTGTGTGTCTCCACTATCCGCACAGTTCCTGGGGTGCTTGATTCTCCTTATCTCCCTCCAAGACACTTCGACTTCTTTCTACCAGTGCAAGGGAGTTTTCTCTTCCCATTTGGTTACTTTGATTTCTGCTACTTGGAGGCTGGGACGGAAGGTTTCCTCTACAGGTTCGGATGTGCTTGAGAGAGTACTCTAGCTTTGGAATTAGTTTGTTCCTTCATTTGTCTAATAACTACGGAGCATCCCACTCTGGAAATACAGTGAAGAAACCAAAAAGGATAAGGTCTTTTCCCTTGGGGAACTTATATGCTAATGGGAGAAAGAAACTGTAATACAAATAAATGAATTAGGTAATTTCTCTGGGGGCACCTGAGTGGCTCAGCTGGTTAAGGGTCCAGCTTGATTTTGGCTCAGGTCGTGATCTCAGGGTTGTAAGAATGAGTCCCGGGTCATGCTCTGTGCTGGGTGTAGAGTTTGCTTAGGATTCTCTGCCCTTCCCACCTTCTTTCTCTCCCCACCTTCTCTCGGTCTCTCACTCCCCTCTTTTCCTCCCCCTCTCAAAAAAATTTTTTTTTTTTCTCTAAAGAGGTGATATTTGACCTGAGATCAGCCATGGAAAGGTAAGGGGACAGAGCATTCTAGGCAGAGGGAATAGAAAGTAAGTACAGAGGCTTGAGGACAGGAACAGACTTAGAATACTGGAATATTGGAGGAAAATCCAGTTAGCTACAGTAGTGTATGAAGGAAGGAGAGGCATCCAGGGGCCAGATCATAGGGTTTTGTAGACAATGTATGGTTTAGATTTGATTCTCAGTGGTCTGTTCCTGTGATTAGATTTGGGAGGGGTGTGGGGTATATTTTGATATGTGTGTGCTAGATAGTTTTCATTTATTGGATCTCTTTCCCTTTCCCCAGATGTAAGGACTCAGGAATGGTTCTCTAATGTGGAGGAAATATCTAAGGAAAAAGCACAGATCTTGGCTCAGCTTATGTCACAGATGTCTGTGAGATGGCCTTGGAAAGCAAAGTTTTTGGTCCAAAAGTCTTCATCCATAACTGAGGGCCTGTGGGAAGAGGCTAGACATAGGTCCAGCCATTCATTCAACAAGAAGAACTTGTAATTTAGATAAGTCTGTCATCACTGATTTCTTGTGGTACATGTGTTTTCTTTTTTAACTGAATTGGTAGGGATTTCCAAAGATCTGTGGGAAAAGTAACGTATCTCATATAAAGGCAAAATAATGAATTTTCCATTTCAAGTTTGAATCTTTATTTTAAAATCGGTAACACGGGGTGTCTGGGTGGTGCAGGTGGTTGAGCATCTGCCTTCAGCTCGGATCCTGATCTCCCGGTCCTGGGATTGAGCCCCACATCGAGCTCCCAGCTCAGCGGGAAGTCTGCTTCTCCCTCTCCCTCTGCCTTTACCCCCTGCTTGTGTGTGTGCTCTCTCTCTCTCTAATGAATAAATAAAATCTTTTTTAAAAAATCAATAACACTTTCTACACTTACATATTGCTGATATTTTCAAGAGTTATAGTACTTTCACCTGTGGCCAAATTAGATAGCTTAATTGGACATTGATCTTGCCAATATATTGTGAATACCTGTGGAATATTCTCTAAAGTTACCTGATTTTTCACGCTTTCCCAAATGTGGGTTAAGCTTATAATTTTTTTTTTTTTTAATTTTATTTATTTGACAGAGACACAGCGAGAGAGGGAACACAAGCAGGGAGAGTGGGAGAGGGAGAAGCAGGCTTACTTCCCACTGAGCAGGGAGCACTATGCGGGGCTCGATTCCTGGACCCTGGGATCATGACCTGAGCCGAAGGCAGATGCCTAACGATTGAGCCACCCAGGTGCCCCACAATTTCTTTTTAAAGATTTTTTATTTATTTATTAGGAAGCACCACAGCACAAGTCAGGGGAGGGCAGAGAGACGGGGGAGAAGCAGATTCCCCACTGAGCAGGGAGACTTATGCAGGGCTGGATCCCAGGACCCTTGAAATCATGACCTGAGCCAAAGGCAGATGCTTAACCGACTGGTCCACCCAGGCACCCCTACCATTTGTTTTTTTAGACATTATCACTAGGGAGATACAAAAAAAAGGCTTGTTGACAAATATTACTAAACTCAAGGATCTATGTAGTATTTTGACTTTCGGGGATTGTTGCATGCATATTTATATGTCCCCATTCACCCCCACTTTTTTTTTTTTTTAAACTTACAAATAGTCCTGCCTAGTACCTAAATTTTGTCGTTTTAGGGTTGTTCTATCATGTGGTCTTAGAGTCAGTTGTCCCCACCTCTTCCTGTAGTCACAGTCGATTGATCAGAACAAACGTGTAGAATGATGGAATGTTTTTGATGGAAAAAATTAAGGGAGTGCAGCTTTTGAAAATAGTACAAGAAATATGTGGTAGATACCTATCACTATTGTAAAGCACTAGGGAGACTGAAGTGAACAAAACACAAAGCCTGTACAAGAAAGCAAAGTGGTATACCTTACAAAATTTGGAAGTTTGGAACTTGGAAAAATAGAGTGAGGGAATGGAGAATAACTGGGATGGGTCCTCGTTTAGCTAGCATGGTCCAGGAAGGCATCTCTGAGAAGAGATGACCTTGGAAAGAGACCTGAATGAAGTGGGCAGTGAGCCATGCAGCTCTCCAGAGTCAGAGCTGTTCAGGCAGGTAGAAGAGTAAGTGGAAAGCCCTGAGACAAGAGTACAAGCGCTGGCATATGGGAACAGTAATATAGGACGAATTTCAGATTCACTTCTTTCTGGAAAAACTTTTGAATGAACAGACATTCATTATGGTGGGTAAGTTGTCATTTTTTTATCTTGCAGATGTAAGAGTCCCCATGTTAAGTTGGGGCTCCTCATAAGTGACCCTTGAAGAATAGTCTGTAATACACACTGAGAACTCCTATTTTACTTAGTTGAACGACATATTGACTCCTCCTTGAGTTCATTCAGCAAATGCTTACTGAATGTCTTCTGTGTGCCAGGCACGACAGAGACAAGACATACAAAGTCCCTGCCCTAAGGAGCTTACAATAAGGATGACAAGTATATCAAAGATATTTCAGATGATGGTTACTGCTGTTAATAGTGTAATGAGGGGGGAGGTACCTGGGTGGCTCAGTGGGTTAGGCCTCTGCCTTCAGCTCAGGTCATGATCCCAGGATCCTGGGATCAGGCCCTGCATTGGGCTCTCTTCTCAGTGGGGAGCCTGCTTCTCTCTCTGCCTGCCTCTCTGCCTACTTGTGATCTCTCTCTTTGCCAAATAAATAAATAAATAAAAATCTTAAATTTTTTTTTTTTTAATAGTGTAATGGGAACAAGATAGATGGTAATGATAGAAGGCCTTTTTGAGGAGTTGGCAGTGGGCTGACAGCTGAATAATACCCAAATTAGAGGGAAGAGCATTATTACAGCTTGGAGAACAGTCTCGGCTGGTTCATGCAACAGAGGGAAGGCTTTTATGGCTTGAACTTAGAGCCAAAAAGGAGCCTAAAGAAGGTAAATGAGGTTGAGAGGTGTCAGATTACCTGGGATTCTGCCCTAGTAGAGTGTGGATTTTTTTTTTTTTTTTAAGATTTATTTATTTTAAAGAATGAGTGCATGTGCTAGAAAGAGTTCACACATGGGGGTAGGGGCAGAGGAAGAAAAATCTCAAGCAACTCAAGCAAACTCCTCCCCGCTGTGGAGCCCGACTTGGGGCTCGATCTTATGACCCGTGAAATCATGACCTGAACTACAATTACAAGTCGGTTGCTTAACCAACTGAGCCACCCAGGTGCCCCAAGAGTTTGGATTTTTTTTAAAAGATTTTATTTATTTATTTGATACAGACATAGCAAGAGAGGGAACACAATCAGGGGGAGTGGGAGAGGGAGAAGCAAGCTTCCCGCTGAGCAGAGAGCCCATGTGGGGCTCGATTCCTAGACCTTTGGATCATGACCTGAGCCGAAGGCAGACGCTTAATGACTGAGCCACCCAGGCACCCTGGATTAATTTTAATATAGATAATTATGAGGAATATAAGAGATTTTCTGGAGATATGTATAGTGCTTTAAGAACATAATGAAGAAAGTTAGTTGGGTGCCTGGATAGCGTTGAGTGATTGGGTCTTGATTTCTGCTTGACATAATCTCAGGGTCCTGGGATCGAACCCTGTGTGGGGATCTGAGCTCAGTGAGGAATCTGCTTAAGGATTCTTTCTGTTCCTCTCCCTCTGCCCCATACCCTGCTCTCAAGCGTGTGTGCTCTCTTTCTCTCCCTAAAGTAAATCAATCTTTAAAAAAAAGAAAAGAAAGTTAATGAAATGCAGTATTACTGAGGAATGTATTAAACTCAACAGGATGGGGGGTTCTTGCATGGCTGTCGGTCAAGTGTCGGGACTC